TCAGATGAAGATTTGGAGCTAAACACACTATCATCTGATAGCGATTAGATTTTTTAATGATAATATATAATTTGAATTATAACCGTCTTTAGTTTGCTCCCTCTTCTAATTCAAATTTGCTTCCGAACAACTTAATGCGCATACTAAATGAATATAATAATACAAAAATCAATTAATGATCAATGTCTACACAACCTATTCACTTTATTTTATACTTCAAATAAAATAGAACGCCACTGCGCTCTGTCGACGACCTCGTGATGAGCGGACCCGCCCACGATGACGTAGCGGTCATATTCTTAGAGCGTTCGAACCATACCCACAAATGTTAAGTGGGGTTATGTTGTTGACGTTGACATTTGATAATGACATGGACGGAAATAATCCTCTGCGCCGATTCTCGCGCATATTATATAGAACGGGTTTTATATTTTTACCATGAAAATTTTCACAAGAATTCTTTTAGGTGTAATACGACAGCAATAATTTTCGGCATAATTATAACCATAATTTTCGGAGTAATTCCTTTTGTGTAAAACGGCTCTTAAATCGGAAATGTAGCTAATACTTTATCGCTTTCAGCGCAAATGTTAGCCAAGGGGCAGGTAATCGAACAGTTGAAGTAATGTTCTGCTATGGTAGGCTTCAAAAATGGCATGTCACATACTACTTAATAAAGGTAAAAATAAAAAAGCAAGGGTCTATTTTAAACAAAAACATGTCCAGATAAGAAATGCATGTTCAATGAGAAGCTCACGGACTCACTGAACAGTTTTTTAATGTTTGGAGTATAATTTAATACCGCTATTCCATTGTCCAAATGTTCATCTGTACGTCGATTACGGTATTTGTTTTTAATAAACTTCATATTTGAAAAAGACGATTTACACAAATAATTTGAACTAAATAACGCTTTAACTTTCAAGGCAACACGAAATAAATCTGATTATTTATCTTTACTGACTGAAGGTCGCATACATTTTGTATTTGTGACTAACGATTTGAAAGCTAAATCATCTTGAAACGCAATCACTTCCAATTCTGTCGCAGCGATGTCTTCGCTAAAATTCTGCGTAACAGAAGTTGCAAACTGTTGGATATCAATTTCCATGAAGGGTGAAACAACAAATTGCGCCACTATATAGCAATTTTGTTGAAATCCTTGAAACGATTTTTGATGTAATCCTTCAAATTAGATACTTTTTCTGCATGATATTTACTGTCATATGGTTCTGATGGACTTTCATATATATTTTCTGAACAGGAAAATGCCTGGTATCGCCATCGACTAAGTTTTGTTCCCAAAACTCAAGATTTTTGATAAACGCTTGTATATCAGAAATCATTTCTGGTAGTTCTTTGTCTCTCCCCTAAAGCAGCAAATTAAGTTAATTTGATTTTTCTGTAATATCCACAAGAAAACCAAAATCTCTAAGCCAGATTGAATTTTCCAGGTTCCGGAACCGATTCATCACGTTGTTTGAAAAATTGAACTATGGCGGATACGATATCATTAAAACGTTTCAGCACTCATCCTCTTCTTAACCATCGGACTTCAGAGTGAAGTATTTCCCCGTATTGACAGTCAATTTCATCGGCCAAGCTTTTGAATAATCTTCTTTGTAACGCTTAAGCTCTAATCTTGTTCACACTTTTTAATACCAATTTCATAACATTGATTAGTTTTAGAAAATGTCCACATAATGCTTGCTGATGGATAATGTAGTGGCAACAGAGATATTACGGAAAACGTTCATCTTTACGACATAACCCCACGAGACCCTTATCTCGACCCACCATAGCTGGAGCGCCATCGATTGTCAAGCCTACCATTTTCGATATTGGAACTTTCTCAGAAGAAATAATATTTTTAAAAGAAAGAAACAAGTCCTGCCCAGTAGTCTGTCCTTTTAGTAGAATAAACTTCTTTAATCGTAAAATCACTAAAAACTATCCTGACGAACAAGGCCATCTGAGAGGTATATCATTCCTCATTACTTCTAAATAGATACTATCTCATCTTAATTTCTAAAGTTGGCAAATAACGAATCTGCAGCTGCTAAAAACGCCCGTTTTATCATCTCTCCGTCTTCATAAGGTTTCTTTTTCTGTGTAATTATCTGAGACACCCGGTATGATGCTTCAGTTGCAGCCTTACTTTTGTCAATTGTTTTTAAAAACATTGTTGTCTAATTAACTGATTCAGTTTTTCGTTCTGGTTGCAGAACGTAATGGGAATCATTTTTCAAAATTCTAATGTGCAGTTTAATAGTGCCTCCTGATATCCCCTTTTTAGCAACGGAAACAGTTGTATTACATAACAAACATACATTTTTACCTTTAACTTCTGTAAATAAATATTGTACTTCCCATTACGAATGGAAATTGTATGGCTTCATCTTCTTACTACTGCTTATACTTAAACTAAACTCAAAGCGACACAGCCGCCGCGCGAATCTACATTTTTGTTAAAAGCACAGAAGGCTCAACGGTAAAACGCTCCATGGCGACTAAATTTCCGAGCACCAAGCTACTTATCCCCACTACCCGTGTCCCGCTCCCGCGCGTGCCTGACACGAGCAATGCGATTTTGGAATTCGTACGTCTTTCTGGACCACCCGTGCTTGTTATGTATTGGGAGTATTTGTTAAATGAAAAAATACCGCATACATTGTTTGATCGATATGGCTAGATTCTATTTATGAAATACATTATGCAATTTTCTTTCGGTCAAGGTTTTACACACTTAGTGTTTTTCCGATATTTTCCATTATCTCAAAACAAGGCTGTCAGTTGCTTCCAGTGAAAACGCAAAAGCATGCCACCGAGATCGGGTTGAAGTGAAGTTGCCGAAGGGTTGCTGCTTTCAGTGACAATAGTACCTAATAGAAAATCATTTATTTCCTACAACTCTAAGCATTTTTGCGATATATCCTAGTGTTATGGGCGTGAAAATATTTCTAATACTCATGATTACGAAGGCCCAATAGCGTCTCCACCACACATCTCTACACAATACCACATCTCTACCATAATAATCATATTTACACATACGAACGCGAAAACCACTTACCGAATTATGTCATATCAGGTAATTTATGACTGGTTTTCGTCCACAGATAATATTTGTTGGCCATAGTAACTTCATATTTGGTTTAAGCAGCAAAATGTTTTTGTGTATATTAGATGTAAATTTTTAATTACAAAACTGATGATCTTCACTGTAATACGTTTCTTCTGATTTTCTGATTTAAAAACAAAAATATATATAAAAGTTTAGTAGCTGTGCGGACGCTCCTTTCTATTATATAAGCTTGGCAAGCATCCAGCCTATATCTTAACTACATCCTAAGTGGGGTAGTTATTTCATCAATAAATGTCGTCCAATCCTTGAAAGTATTATTGTAAGGAAAAATTCAGTTTGCCCTGATTCGGTTATTGTTAGAATTATTCATAAAATCGATATCACGATTGTTGTTCCACACCAGAACCATATGAAAAAAATATTTCCAGGTCTACGCTGGGATGCTCCATTTTAAAGATGACGTAATGGTCACAAACGATTATAAGTATCTATGAAATATGGCTCATTAGATCTAAAAATTTATTTTTAAGAGTTGATGTTAAGAAAACTTCTCCCGTATGTTGAGAAATCCAAAAATAAGATTTCAGTTAAATCAGTTATTTTCTTTATTGCAACTTACACTGTATTTACATCGTTTGCGTTTATGTAGATGTTTATATAGCTGAATCATGTTTATTTGTTCTCTGGTTTTGACTTTCGTAGCTTCTACTCTCGTAAGTGAATTTCTACTCTCATAGTTTTCTATGTATGTTTAAGGTAATTATTCTAAGAAAAAGATGAAAAAGTAAGTGCAATGCCTCAGGTTGAAAACAAAACATACATTCCTACCAACTGTATGATATACTGATAATCAAGGTCTAATATCTATAAATAAAAAACTTGCATCGACCAATGAAAAATATATGCATGAATGTAAAAAGTACATAATACACTATGCTCACTGAATTAAGCGTACGAGAGTGGCCTAAATAGTTTCCGACCTCAAAGTCAAGATGGCAGCACTCGTAAACAAAAGCTAGTGAATTTCCTTGTTCATCTGTTGACAGTTACTCAGCAAAGTTTGAGTGAGTTGATGGAAGTGTTTGTGTGTAAATGGCCAAAATCGAGTATCGATCTGTTCTTAAATATTTGTCTTTGAACGGCAATACGCCTACGCAAATCAAAGATGAGTTGGATTGTGTGTATGGGGACTCCGCACCATCATTTACCATGGTGGAATTTTGGGCAGTTGAATCTAAACGTAGCCGTAAGAGCTTGGGAGACGATGAACGTTCGGGACGTCCAAAAACTGCAACAACCGACATCGCCAAATGGTGCTAGACGACCGCCGAATTATAGTAAGAGAGATATCAGAGGTTATGAACATGTCAAAAGAACGTGTTTGTTACATATTAAATCAACATTGAGAATGAGAAACCTTTCCGCGTGCTGGGTGCCGCGTTTCCTCACGTTAGACCAAAAACGTGTTCGAATGCATTTCCAACGCTATGATGGCGCAGTTTAGGCAATGATTAATTACTGTAACTGAAACTTGAATACACCATTATATGCCCTAAACAAAAATACAGACCAAACAGTGGACTGCAAAGGGAGAACCGGCTCCAAAAAATGTTTTTTCGGCTGAGAAAGTGATGACGACAGTTTTTTGGGATAGTCAGGGGTTATTTTAATCGATTGTAATCATAAAGGAGAAACCGTTACAGGAGCATACTACACATCAGTACTTAACAAGCTGAAGGCAGAGCTTGCGTAAAAATGGCCACATTTGCAGCAAAAGGAGACTCTTTTGAAAAATAAAAAGAAAACAGAAAAAATGTCTTGTATCTTTGATAGGTCGGAAACTTTTCAGACCGCCCTCGTATCTGTAAATTTTATATCATAATCTAAGTATACCTTGCTTACGATTATTTTTCAGGAGCACCAGAAAAGCCAAGTAGGCTTCTTCCCCAGAAACCAGGCATGCAAAAACCAGGATCCGCTCCTTCGTCTATCGCACCATCCTACAGAAAACAGCGCCAACTTCCCATTTATCTGAGTTGGGATGAATTGATGATTGATGAAAAATTCCTCACAATGTTCTTCTACTACTTCAGTCCATGTGAAAGGTGTGTCCTTGCTAGAGTGTGTATTAGGTGGCGCGATGTACTTTACAAGTAAGTATGTTTCTACCTCCTAGATCCTAGAGTACACACAAGGGATTAGGTACTTCAGCATAAAAATGTTTTAATGGAATTTTTTTTATTTTGGTATTTTGAGATTCTCCTTATGATTTTAAACATGTTTTATGTATTAGCGTCCATACCTAAATTCAAAATTTTGAGATATTGAGGTTAGAAATGAGCTTTTCGTCATATACCCTAGTTCACGAGTATTCATCACGCTTTGACATCTACTGAGGTGTACAGCTGATCAGCAAGTGACAGTTTTGTATTAGTCTGCACCGTTGACAATAATGAATTGGCTGTAAATCTAGTAAAACTTGTTTGTAGCTTTTTGGTTTTTTAAGTAAATGAACTTTTCTAAATAAAAGAATGTTTAGCAAGTACAAAATGAATCTGTAGCGTACAAAAAACAAAACAGGCAAGGCCTAGAACATAAGAAGAAGGAGATAACCTCATTAGCTCAAAGACAGAATTATTTCTAATTATGTTCCGTCCTCGTCGAAGTAAATATTTAGAATACATATCGTAGTACCCTCGTAGTAGTACCCAACCGCGACGATTTGAAAGCGTGCACGCAGAGAAGGAAAGCGCACCGCGCCCGTTCCCCCTACCTTTCTCCCCTCTAGCCGCCTATAAACCTTCATTTACTTCACAGCCAAGTTGTTGCAACAATTGGGTGATACATAACATAACATAACATAACTTAGTTATTACGTTATTTGCTCATTACCATGAAATGGATGGTAATTTTTGAACCAGGTACGTCATATCACCTGTTGCTAAAAGACTTAACTTGAATTGTTACAATGGAAATGTACATTTAGTTGACACATACATTGCGTACAATTTGTGTAGTTGTGTACAACCTATGGTTTACTATTGCAGAGCGTTCGTAGTATGTTGTTGCAACTAGCTTTGAACATCTACGATATGTATTCTAAATATTTAATTCGCCGAGGACGGATTTAACGGATTTAACTTTTATAGAACCAATAGAACCTGTGTGAGGCACTGCGAAAATGTTTGAAGTGTGACGCGTTATTCCTAATTTTTCTGTGATGTGGCTTAATTGCACACAACGCGGTCGTGAAAAATAAATAAGCTAATAGATATACTTAATTGGCGGCATATTCAGTAATAATTTTCAAACACAGCAAATATCACTGATTTTATACACTTGCAACCAACCTTCTTTCTTTCACATCTGCTCAGAGATAAATACTACAGACTACTCGGCTTCCTAAAACATATACTTGCTTTCTGCAACCAACAGTGCGTGTAGTTGAATAATTCCTCCATAGATCACAGCGATCATAGCGAGCAAATGTGGAATGAACTATTTGCACCCTAAAAACTACCTAGTCTGCAAGATGACATTTCGTTAGTTTTTTGGACGTTTTGTAGATTTTTTACATAATAGCCGACCCGAATACTTCAGAACGTCAAATAGAAACAAGCACGGGAGTGCCCAAAAGTACAGCCCACCGAATCTTGCGGAAGAACGACCTCCACATGTATCACGCACAGCGAGTACAATCTCTACAACCCCGAAATTATCTTCGCCAAACAATTTTACGGAGACACAGAGAAAATACGTGATTTTTAGAGAAAATTTTATGGACTGATGAGTCAACATTTGCCGTAATTCTCCTCAGTTGTTCGTAATTTATAACTTTGAACATAACCTCCCTTCAGAAAGCACAACATATAAATAACCCGTCATATTCGTTAATGATTTTCTCACACATCAAATATCACTGATTTTATACACATGCAGACCAATATACATAACCATCCAGATGCGATCTTGCTATTCAACCAACTTTCTTCTCAGAGATAAAAACTACAGACCCGAATCATTCAGCCTCACAAAACTATGCAACCAATAATGCGTAGTTTAGTTGAGTGATTCCTCCATAGATGGACGTTCACAACGATCCTAGTGAGCAAACGTGGAATGACTGTTTGCGCCCAAAAAACTACCTAGTCTGCAAGTTGACATCTTATTTTTTTTTTACGTTTAATAGGTTTTTTACATGATACCCGTGCCCGGTCACTTCCTCTTAGGCCCGTATCGTCAGTCGCCCCTACAATTGTAGGGCGCGTTTATGGCCTCCTTGATTGTCACCCTCCTTTCTCTCCTTCAAAAATTTCTAGATTACACTTGTCCCGTGTCAGCGCTCTCCTATTGTGAAGATATATCTCAAAAGCAAGCACAATTTGATGCAAATAGATGTTTTTGACATAACCTCAAAATAGAGTTCTGACACGGAGAAGCAGAAAACTATGACAATCAAGGAGGCCATAAAGGCGCCCTACAATTGTAGGGACGACTGACGATACGGACCTTAGGCAGTCACGCGTTCCATTTTACTTATAGGTGAAACACGTATTTTGATAGTTCGTCTTCAGAAGTCGAAGCATTGCTTTTGTGGAATTTGGAAGAGTTTAATGAGAAAAAAGATACTAGGTGCAGCCGATCAAGAGAGAGAGAGAGAGAGAGAGAGAGAGAGAGAGAGATAATAAAGGAGAGTTCAGTGTTCTTTTTCCTGCATTGCTTGAAGATGAAAAACGATTTTTTATTTACTTCAGAAAAATACGCTTTTATTATTTCTTGCAATCCAATTTCGCAATGTGGCTATGACGACGGAAATTGTATGTAACCTCCAAATAATCCATAGGATTGGGCATCTTCTTGGAAAATACGTTAATCAGTGCTAGTGTTATTAAAAAGTGAAACAGGTTCAAACAATTGCAGTAAATCATTCAATTCCACACACTTCCATATGAGTTCAAAACAGTTCTGACAAGTCTTGTTATGATATTTTAATTTTCAGATCACCCCGCTTTTGGTCTGGTTTGGTACCGGTGCTGCAATGCCGCGAGATGCGTGGTTGCCACACTACAGAGCGCACTCGTTTATATTCGTCAGTGTTGAGGAGAGGATTTCACAGTTTGAGGTTGGTTTCAGCATCGGACGAAGACGCCATTGATCTGGTTAATACTTTCCCGCTCGCAGCCAAACACGTCCATTCATTGAGTCTGCGTTGCTCTAGTATCACGGATAGAGGGCTTGAGACATTGTTGGATCACTTACAGGTAAGATTGTTAAACTACGATTACATGCAGTTTCCATTTTAAATAACGATTTCAGTACCTCGTCAACATAAGTAACTATTGCAAGGTCAAGTGTTTGAAGCTTAATCTTACCAAAAGTTTTGCAATGTTATTCTGTCCTAAAACCAACTATGAACATTTTGAAATGATGATTGATTTGAGAGTAAATAACGTCCATATTCCACCGATCGCACAAGCAAAAAGTTTAGGTGTAAATCTTGGAATTCATCACTACGTCAATAGACCGTCAGTCCAGTGGGAAAGTTCACATTTCAAATTTGAATTACGCGGCAATCGACGCGTTCGGCCATTCGGCGTGCGGGTTAAATAGTCACAATGGAACGTTGGACCGGAGCACAACGTGCTTTTGCTATCGAGGCTTACTTTAAGAGTGGTGATTGATACGCACCTGCCCTTCGGGCATTTTGTGCGCGATACAACGTTCGCCGACTAAGAGATGCCCCAAGTAAGAACCTATTGAAAAAGTGGTTAAGAGGTTCCGTGAAACAGGCTCTACTTTTAGTCAACCCATTCCTGGCCCCATACCTACTGTATCAACCGAAGAAAATATGCGTCGAGTAAGTAATTCGGTCATTGCAAATACTCGGCGTTCGGTACGGAAGCATTCCGGTGCTTAGAGAATCCCTAGGTCAACACTGCATGGCATACTGAAAAAAAAAAAAAATGTTTTTTTTCATCCTTATAACATCCAATCAGTCCATGCTTTGAAGGAAAGTGATTACGTAATACGAAAATCCTGTGCTGAACGGAAGTTGATTTTTTTGTCCTACTCAGCGCAGACTCGAGAACGTTATTTTCAGTGACGAGGTCCATTTTCACTAAGAGCCGTATCGTCAGTTGTTCCTACAACTGTAGGGCGCCTTTAGCGCCTCCTTGATTTTCATAGTTTTCTACTTTTCCGTGTCAGCGCTCTATTTTGAGGTTATGTCACAAATAACTATTTGCATCAAATTGTTCATGCTTTTGATTTACATCATGTTTTATCAGCTTGAAAATTCCTACATTCAAAAAGAAAACATAACTTCACAATAGGAGAGCGCCTACGCTGACACGGAACAGGTACAATTTTTGAAGGAGAGAAAAGACTATGACAACCAAGGAGGTCATAAAGGCGTCCAACAATTTTAGGAACGACTTACGATACGGGGCCCTTAGATGGTTATGTGTATAAGCAAAATTGCAGATATTGGGCACCAACGAACACAACAGAGAAACATCAACAACTGCTACACAGTCCAAAGGTGACTGGTGCGCCATATCCTCTAGCGGTATTATTGGGCCGAAGATTAAAACGGTCATGCATTGACAATCAATTCCGAGCGCCACAAGGACATGATTGACATTTTTTTGCTCCTATTGTAAGAACAGACATTCACTGGCCTCCTAGGTCACCCGACCTCAGGCCATGCGATTATTTTTGTGGGGTTATCTAAATTCAAAAGTGTATTACAATGATCCACGAACACTGTAGGAGCTTAAAGACAACATTCGACGAGAAATAAAGAACATCACTCCAAAACTCTGCAATAGAGTATTTCAGAATTTGCGCGCGCGATTAGAAGAGTGTCTCGAAGGGATGGCAAACATTTGGACGGAATGATATTTAAGAAATAAAAAGTGAACTTTCCCACTGGATGCTATATTGAAAGCTACATATTGTAGCATTTTTCTGGGTTCTTTTGGGTGTGGATTAAGACACTGGATTCCACAAAAAGAAATGCACTTATTTATTTAACTTGACTAGATAGAACATTTATGTACACCACTACTTATATCTGACTATTTATTTACGAAATATCATGTCGCGCCATTCCTGAACTATACTCTACTCTGCCTCCCTCTCCCGGCCGTCGACCTATATAGTCCGCATCGTAGGTACTCGTTGATTCGAGAAGGTTTCGGAGAGCCACTTAGCGGCAGTCTAGAATCTTCGAGGTCACTTCGCGTCGATCTTGAAGATTGCGCCAACAGTACAAGCTTGAAGCCTCTTATATTCCAGTCGTTCAGGTACAGCCGTGTTAGATGTAAAATTTGTGAGTTGGTGTGGCTGAATCTCGAACATCTTTTTGAGTTGCTAATTTTGCTTTTTATACACAAAATAATTGTCACCAAGAGACCTATATACCTAGCAAATAAGTGTGTTCCTTGTAAAAATCTAAATACAAGAAGGTGACGCCAAGATGACCATTTCGATATTCCTCTCCACCGTATACTTCATTGTATCATAGATCTTTTATGAACAATGCCGTTCAGTTATACAATTCACTCAATACGTCCAACAAAAAAAAAAATTAATTTTAAAAAATCGGTTAGAAACACCTGTCAGAGATGCAAACATCTCTCAATGCTCGAGTTATTGTTTTGTTATTCTTTAATTCTCATACATTCGTTTATGTTTCTAATGTTACTCTTTTCTTTCTGTCTTGCTATTCATGTAAATAGTATAATTTCATAACCGTTCTGTAATTGTTTTATGTTGCGTGTATAAACTTTTTGTTATGTTTCGTCCATATTGTGGTTATATGGAAGAGTGGCCATCAAGCTTAACTTCGCCATGATGTGTGTACCAATAAACTTACTTTATTATTAATATTATCTCCTCTATGACACAGTCTCTCTTAATTTACAAGACCAACTCGCCAATTGCTCCCTTCCCTTCACAACTTTCGGCCATGCTATACAGGGTTTATTTTAATTGATGGTTAAAAATACAGGATATGATTCCTTAGCTCATTTTAGGAAGAAAAGTTTATATGGATATCTGTCCTAAACCTCTTAACTTTTGAGCTACAGGGTGCTAAAATTTCAAGAAAATTTTGTTCTCATCATAACTTTAATAATGTTCTAGATATTTTCTTAAAATATGACATGCACCTACTAAGCAGCAATAGGCATTTTTTGATGTAGAATATTTTTTTATTTCTACCAGTGGCGTCCGTATACTGGAGATTAAAAAAATATTGTACGCTATTGTTTTTTTCGAAAATAAAAATTATCTTTGCAACAAATATGAGCTCTTGACTTTTTCCGTCTGATGCACTGCTTTTGCGTAAAAAATATAAAACCATTTTCCAAATAAGAAAATGGGAAACATTAAGCATTACGGCAGTTTTCCTAGTATTTGTTTCTGGATGTTCTTCAGTTGTATTTATAACAGCTTCCTCTAATTCTGGTGTTCTCACCGTGCGAGGTGCTCCTTTGGAACTATTGTCAATGTTAAGACTCCCCAGTTTCATGTATTCTAGAAAACATTCTGGCATCGGGAATAATACCCGACTACCACGTATATGAATACTTGTCAAAATAAGACCGCAACCACAGATTATACAGATGCGACACCTGCTGTCGGCCCCTTTGATCTTCGTGTCCCCAACTGCTTGCCACGTTTCCCGCTTATGTTCATTAGCGTCCGGAGGATTTTTCCTAGGGGTTGTTACGCGTTATTAGCAAGACTTCACGAATTTCATATGCAGTGGCGGCTCGTGGTAAAATAAAACAGGTGTTCTGCAAATCCGAACTTACCTATTTTTTATATGTCAGTTCGATCCTGCGCTCCTTCTTGGCAGCAAATTTGTCGATCACCTTCCCGTTGAAATTTTCCATGGTCGAAATAAATTCCTTTTCAGTGGACAGCATCGACAACGCTGTAAGACGATCCTGGGTCATAGTATTACGAAGAAAAGGCTCGATTCTTCTCAATGTTGAGAAATTTCGCTCAGCCTCTGATGATGACATAGGAGTTGTAACAATAATTTCTAATAGCTTTTTTGTTTCTTTTAGTGTTTCCTCCAAACTATTTTGTATCAAAAATTTCAAAAGAGACAGAGTTCCATGTAAATCTCGGGAATCATTCCTTGCATAAATAACAGACAACTCTGTCTTTAAACGTCTTTTTTCTAATTCGGGATAAGCCAAGCAGGTAGTTTCCAACTTGTCATCGGGAAACTTACCACAGTATTCTCCAAAGTGTTCGGGGAAAAAAAGGGATGCGGCTACCAAATGATCTTTGAATTGAAATCTGTCATTTGCAGAATTCACTATATTGCCGCATACTTCTAATGCAGCAACTCGGTGATCGTGACTGCTATTATTACGTCGTATCCTTCTGTTGCCTTGGGGTTCAGTGCAAATACTTTTGGCTTCATTTATTATGTCATCAATTTTATTTCTTACATCGACAATACATTTTTCAAAATTATCGATAGCCGTTTTAACTTGCGCTGGCTCGGTTTTTCTCTTCTGCAACTGGTTGAACAAGATGTCGACGTGAGGCATGACATGATGAAAAAATGTCAACCAAAACACGAAAACAGAATTGTTTAACATGCGGCGAATACCGCAGGCTGCCTTGCAAACGGTTTCATTAGTGAAATTTTCTTCTATTTCTTCCATGCATTCAATGAGTGATTCTCTGTTCTCAAATACTACATTTATTGTTCGAATATTAAAATTCCAACGAGTTGTTGCTCCTTGGGGAATTTTTTCCCCACAATTCTGTTTAGTACCTCTACGCGTTGAGGAGAATTATTAAAAAATCCCGGAATATCTTTCAAATCCCCGTTTCATCTGCTATTATCGCCAAATACGACGCTCTGTTAATCTATTTTATTATTTCGTCATGACAAACTTCAAGAATACAATCCAGTAGATCGTTTTGTATTTATTTCGAAGTTCCTTTAAATATTGAGGCATTTTTTGTGTTCGCTTAAAGTTGTATCAAGCTCAGCAGAAAAATGTTATACCGAGCACCGACCGACCAATCAGATATCGTACTTCGCATTAGATATGTACGGATCAGTATAACGTGCAGCACATGCTTATGCCTAAATCGCGCATTTGATTTTGTAGAGAGAGACAAAAGCAAACGCGTGTCGAAGTAGTGCACAGACCCTTTTCAAGTGGCCCATAAATAATGTTACGCTGCGGTCGCGACGAAAATGACAAGTACACAATTGGTCGATTATAATGATTTCTCAATACAAAACGGACTCGACGCCGTGTCTTGCGGGGGCAGCGTTGCCAGTATTGTTTCTATTTGTGTGATAACATGAAAAATAAATAATGATCAAATTACTACTGCTTTTTTCTGTCAAGACAAAAGTTTTGGCAGTCCTGCAGCTCTGCATATGTCAAGCAACATAATCAGGAAATTTATTTGTGTTTATCATTTACCCACATGCATTTTGGCGAGATAATTACTATTATTTCTTGAAAAGCTATTTATATATATAGTATTGATACAACTCAATGTTTTTGATAACCCGTAAATTCTAAATGTCACAGCAACACGAATCCCACCAAACGCATAATACTTTAGTTGGCGTTGATAGAAATTGATTTTTGACAGTGTGTCGCCTCTGTATAATACCCTCGCAACGTAAACGATCAAATTTCATTATTTTAAAAACAAAATAGGACACCAAGCCTACTAATTCAAAATAATTTCGTTTTACCAGAAATATTTTTTTGGAAAAAAGCAATGGGGTACCATATTTTTTTGAAAAATCTCCAGTATACATCCCGCACGGACGCCATATAAACTTTTCTTCCTAAAATGAGCTAAGGAATCTGATCTTGTATTTTTAACCGTCAATTAAATTACACCCTGTATTTCTAGAGCTATTATGTTCGCTTCTTCGTTCCTAAGGTGTCTAAAATCTCTCTTTAACACTTTGTGCCTTCGTTGCTGCTGGAGTATGAGGAATTTGAATTGAACTTTGTATGTTAGTATTAAATTTTAATGTAACTAAATGCTAGTATCACAAATGGTTACTTGCCAAAATCAGAAAACATTGATTCGCAACTACTTTTGGCTGTACCAAAAACGTTACTCCAACATCTATATGAGAATCTAAAATGTCAAAATGATTCTAGAGCAGTGGTCGCCAACCTTTTCAGTGTGATGAGCTACTTTGATCATTTTGGAATAGACAGTGAGCTACCTAATCGTAAGCAATGTAAGCCAACTTAAATGGAATTTTACACAGTTGTATGCGATATACATGTGTTTATTTTACTAATACTAATCCATACTAATAAACTTAAATAAACTAATAACTAATTCATACTATCTAACTACATCCGTTAATATCAATCGTAGGTGTTTGAAAAATAAACAAAAATTTTCTTCAACTACAATGGCATGTCACATGCGATTTAATAAAGGTAACTAAAAATAAAAAAGCAACGCACTATTTTAAGCAAAAACATGTCCAGATAAAAAGTGCGTGTTCAATGAGAACCCTGACACTCAGGCTCACTGACAATTTTTTTAATGTTTGGAGTATAATTTGATACCGCCATTCGAATATAATTATCAAAATGTTCATCTGTAAATCGATTACGGTATTTGTTTTTAATAAACTTCATATTTGAAAAAGAAGATTCACACAAATAGGTTGAACTAAATAACGCTTTCACTTTCAGAGCAACACGACATAACACTGAATATTTATCTTTACTTACTGAAGGCCAGATACATTTTGTATTTGAGACAAATAATTTTAAAGCTAAATCATTTTGAAACGCAATCACTTCCATTTCTGTCGCAGCGATGTCTTCGCTAAAATTCGGCGTAACAGTAGTTGCAAACTGTTTGATATCAATTTCCATGAATTGTGAAACAACGAAATGCGCCACTGTAGCAGTTTCGTTGAAATCTTTGAAACGATTTTTGAAGTTATGCTTCAAGTTAGAGACTATTTCTACATAATATTTACTGTTATATGGTTCTAATGGACTTTGAGATATATTTTCTGACAGAATAGGAAAATGCCTGGTATCGCCATCGATTAAGTTTTGTTCCCAAAACTCAAGCTTTTTGATAAACGGTTTTATATTAGAAATCATTTATGCTATTCTTTGTCTCTCCCCTGAAGCTGCAAATTAAGTCCATTTAATTTTTCCGTAATACCCACATGAAAACCAAAATCTCTAAGCCAGATTGAATTTTCCAGTTCCGGAATCAGTTCATCACGTTGTTTGAAAAATTGAACTATGGCAGATCTGATATCATTAAAATGTTTCAGCACTCGTCCCCTACTCAACCATCGGACTTCAGACTGAAGGAGTAGTTCCTCATATTGACAGTCAATTTCATTGGCCAAGCTTTTGAATAATCTTTGTAACGCTTGAGCTCTAATCTTGTTCACAATTTTTACTACCAATTTCATAACGTTGTTTAGTTTTAGAAAATGTCCACATAATGCTTGCTGATGGATAATGCAGTGGTAACAGAGAAATTGCGGAAAACTTTCATCTTTACGACGTAACCCCACGAGACCCTTATCACGACCCACCATAGTTGGAGCGCCGTCGGTTGTCAAGCCTTCCTTTTTTGATATTGGAATTTTCTCAGAAGAAATAATATATGTAAAAGAAGAAAACAAGTACTGCCCAGTAGTCTATCCTTTTAGTGGAATAAACTTCAAAAGATCTTCTTTAATCGTAAAATCACTAAAAACCATCCTGGCGAACACGGCCATCTAAGAGGTGTCACCGACATCTGTGGACTTATCCAGCTGCAGTGAAAAAAAGCAGTTATCGAAGTCATTGCAGCTTCTAAAAACGCCTGTTCTATCATTTCTCCGTCTTCATAAGGTTTCTTCTTTTGTGTAATTATTTGGGATGATACTTCAGTTGCAGCATTACTTTTGTCGATTATTTTTAAAAACATTGTCTGTTGTCCAATTAACTGATTTTTTAATTGTTTCAGTTTTTCCGGTCTGGTTGCAGAACGTAATGGGAATGATTTTCCAAAATTCGAATCTGAGCGCACTGTTGCCGCGCCTTGCGTATTTATTCCGTTCAAAGTAATCGAGATCGTGTTGCCGCTGCTTGTGTCTATTATGTGTCTATTATGAGAATTTAAAAAATTTACGGAAGCTTCTATGATTTTTACACCTTTTTAAAATATGTTGTGAGTCACAAGAATTGCCATTGCGAGCTACCGGTAGCTCGTGATCGACGGTGACCACTGTTCTGGAACAACCGAGTGCAAATTCTCCTTGACGCGCAAAATAGTTCGTTGTTTCGAAATTAACTGTTACTTCATAATTTATTCAATCTACCCTTAGGCGCTGTATGAACTTGAGCTGGCAGGATGTAACGAGATTACAGAAGCTGGATTGTGGGCTTGTCTTAGCCCTCGCATCGTGTCTCTGACGCTCACAGACTGTATCAACGTGGCCGATGAAGCAGTGGGTGCTGTAGCACAATTGTTGCCCGCGCTTTATGAGTTCTCCCTGCAGGCATACCATGTCACCGATGCAGCTTTAGGATATTTCTCACCCAAACAGAGCCACACGCTGAATGTGCTCAGGTTACATTCTTGTTGGGAGATCACCAACCACGGAGTTGTAAATATAGGTAGGTAATGGTAGCGGAAAAAGCAATTTCAATTTAATCTCTGTTTGACTTCCCACGCGACCAGCGAGGAAGTATTGCAACCGCGAAAAACTTCAAAAATGAGATATTATGTTTTTTAGATGTTACTAACCAACTAAGAATGCGAGGTACTGTATCTGGGAACCTATCCACCGTACAGGCTTGCGGCAAAAATAGTTGTTATTAAAACGGCCGAGAGAAAAACCCATATTAAGCAAACAAGTAGTGAGGGGTATTCATAGGTTTCCGAAAAAAAACATCCTATATTTACGAAACGGGCTAGTTGAAAAGAGCTATTCTTGAACTACAAACGTTATAATATTTGAAGTTTTGTTAGTTACACATGCGGCCGCTGTATGGCTTTTTTCGACATTCCGACAGAAATTTTCTCGAAAAAATTAAATGCATCGCTATGATTCTTTTATGAAAAAGTAGCTAAATGATGTCTAAACAAGCTCGCGAAAACCATCACTCGATATCTTGTTCCTAACATAAAATTTAGGTCAAAGAAAACTTTGTACAAATATCCCTTAAATTTGTTTTTTTTAAACTAATTTTTCAGGAATTTCTTTTTATCACTAAGTTGTGGCCCTAAAAAAGGCCGATTTAAAAGAGAAAGGTTTTTAATCCCCCCGTAAATGCTCGAAATGCTCACAATCACGCTCTATGCATTCCTGATGCCTCTCATGATTATACAAAACTGCAGCTTCAATTTAGGGTCTCGGTATGTTACGTATTGCATTACGATTCCGGTTTTTCATGTAACGGTTGATTTTTTAAGAGGTATAGGATTTGATTTTAAAAAAAAAACACAAAATTATTTGAAAAAACGATTAAATCTTTATTTGAGTCGATAGAACGGTCGATATAATTTAATGTTTAAAGATTATTTCATGTAAATGTTGGCCGCGGCTCCGCTTTAGATGGCCCATGCGCAAGGTCCAATTTTGGTACACTCTCTCCAACATGTCGGCCGGTATCTCACGAATAAATGCTTCAATATTGGCTTCCAGTGCGTCAATCGTTGCTGGTTTATCACTGTAGACATTAGCCTTAACATGGCCCCACAAGAAATAGTCCAACGGCGTTAAATCACACGACCTAGGCGGCCAATTGACGGGCCCCAAACGTGAGATAAACGGTTCACCGAACTCGCCTCTCAATAGAGCCATTGTTTCGTGTGCGGTGTGGCATGTGGCACCGTCTTGTTGAAACCACATGTCAGCCAAGTCCAGCTCTTCCATTTTGGGGAAAAAAGTTTGTTATCATCGCACGGTAGCGCTCGCCAATCACAGTTACGTTCCGGTCCTTGTCGTCTTTGAAGAAGTACGGCCCGATGATGCCACCGGCCCATAATCCACACCAAACAGTGATTTTTTCGGGATGCATTGGTAGCTCTTGCAATGCTTCTGGCTGGTCTTCACTCCAGATGCGGCAATTTTGCTTGTTAACGTACCCATTCAACCAGAAATGAGCTTCGTCGCTGAACACAATTTTTCGATGAAAATGTGGATCTTCCTCCAACTTTGCCAGCGCCCATTCACCAAATTGGAAACGTCGTGGGAGGTCCTGTGGCTTCAATTCTTGCACCAGCTGTATCTTATAAGGTTTAACACCCAAATTCTGTCGCAAAATTTTCCACGTAGTGGAGTAACAGAGGCCCAATTGCTGCGAACGGCGGCGAATCGACATTTCACGGTCATCACTAACACTGGCGGATACAGCCGCAATATTTTCTTCAGTCCTCACTCTACGTCTGCGTGTTGGTGGTTTAATGTCCAATAATGTAAACTGGGTTCGAAATTTAGTCACAAGCTTCCGAATAGCTCCCTCAGTAGGCCGACCAAATTGCCCATAAATTGGAAGCAGTGCTCGATGCATTCTCTTAACCGAGCATGAATTTTGAAGGTAAAATTCAATAATTTGCAAGCGTTGTTCGTTCGTAAGTCGATTCATGGTTAAATTATAGACCAAACTGAACAAGTTTGACAATGACACAAGACACGATTCACGCGTCATCTGTCAAAAACAGTGTTGCCAAAAAGATACTAGCAAAAAAATCACCCATTATATCTTCTCTGGTTGTAAGGTAAGTCTGGTGTTGCGAAGGCTATGGAATCAGACTTCCTCTTCCAATCCACCGCTGTTGGAGTACTGCATTAATATGCTCTCTCACAATAATAGCAAAATGTGCTGAGCAACCATCCAACTGCAAATACAAGTTTTGACGTGTTTCCAGTGGCACATGTTCCAACAACGGCGGTAATTGATTGTCCAAAAAATCAAGAAAGACATTGCCATTGAGTGATTGCTTGAAAAAATATGTGAAACAATTCTGCCTCCCAGTATGCCACACCACACATTTAAACTCCAACGCCCTTGGTGCTGCAATCAATGCATATTGTGCAGATTGACTCTCCCGTCATTATTAAATGTGGCTTTATCGGTCCAAAGAATTTGAAATAAAAATCATCTATTTTCGCGTATCATGCCTAACATCCAATGGCAATAGTCCTACCTTCGATCAAACCCTTCCTCTTTTAAGGCCGGATGCAAAACGACATTATATGGGTGCATTCCAGAGGTAATTAAAAAAAAGTTAAATTCAAATAAATCCCTATATTTTGATGGCCATTAGAACTTACCTCTGGTCCTTCAAAATGTTTTGAACCGTTGTTCGTGATACCCGCAACTCAAGGGATGATGCCATTGGGCTAACAATTTAAGGATTATTTTATGCTTTGGTAGGTACGACTATCTGTTTTGTTGCATTCCGTGGCCTGCTTCTATTAATAGTCTTTTTCGTATTATACCTATAGTGAATATGCATTTAAACGAAAAATATGACTTTTGTTATTAGCATTACTTAGCTTGAGCAAAAAGGTGATTTTATTATGATGAATAAAAAAGAATTCAAGAAAAATTATTTAAAAAAAATAAAAATGTAAGGGATTTCCGTATAAAATTTTCTTTGGACTAAATTTTAGATTAGGAACAAGATATCGAGATTCGGTTTTCGCGAACTTGTTTAGACATCATTTAGCTACTTTTACTCTAAACAAATCATACCAGTGCATTTAATATTTTTGAGAAAATTAACCATGAATGTCGAAAAAATCCCTCTAGCAGCCACATGTGAAACATCAAATATTATAACATTTGTAGCCCAAGAATGGCTTTTTTCAACTAGCCCAAGTTTGTTAACATCGGCTCAGCCCTTTGGAAGATACAGGGTGTTTTTTACGGAAACCTTTGAATACCCCACCTCTTTATTTTTAGAGATACAGCAAAAATTGTCAAGAAAGGAAGTTCACATTATCCTCGACTTAAAGATCAGGTGTTGATTTGTTAGGTTAATATAGCGGAACATCACTATTTTAGATCACTTCAGTTACGCCCCCTAGCGGCCATTTCAGAAACTTGAAAACATTTTCCAGGTTTTTCTCTTGGCCGTTTTAGTAAGAACTTTTTTGTCGTAAGCCTCTTCGATGGATAGGTTGTCAGATACAGTACCTCGCATTCTTAGATGGCCACCCTGTAATTCACGAAAAGCCATGACACTCATTTCCGTAGGTCTGTCTGTCTGTCCGCAAGTCTCTGGCCCCCTGTATATACAGGGTGACTTCGAAGTTGAGTCATTTATTTCAACAGTGAGTAGATCTGATCAAAAGAAATGTTTTTTCCTTTAACATTTTTCTGGTAAAATTAAAGTAACAAAGTTATAGCCCTTTAGAAGTTTGAGTACCGCCCTGTCTCAATAATAATATTATGTGCTCGTGTTTGACAACAACGGATATCGGTTCATCGCATCGGAAACAAAAAAGCGAAAGAATTTGAAACGTTTATCACGATGTTTTTCGTCAGTCGGTAACGCGTGAGTGAATAGTGGTGTTTGTTGCGTGACTCAAACGAAATGAAAAATGGCACATGTTTACGAAAATGCTGAACTTGTGGACATGATTCTTATTTACGGGGGGGGCAGTCTTTACAAAATGCTGCCGGATGCATCACGGATTTATGCGAATCGGTTTCCCAATCAGTGCAACCAACCCCTCGTGCCTTTGTGTGTGAATCAGGTGACTTAAGACCTCACAGGTGAGGGCATGCCGGTGCTTCAAGACCGCACGATCAAATACAGGTCCGCACTGAAATACTTGTCGGGAGGATACTTTATTAAACAAGGTAACATTTTTTTTTATTTTTACACACATATTTTGGTTTATCTTCCTTCTACAATCATTATCTGAAAATTAATGACTCAACTTCAAAGTCACCCTGTATATATATATATATATATATAAACGCAAGTAAGACTTTGTAGCACTATTGTTTGTGCTACCACATGTGCTTATTTATTCTTATTTTCAGTTCATTCGCTGCCAAATTTGACTGTACTCAGCTTATCGGGATGTAGTAAAATAACGGATGACGGCGTAGAGCTGATAGCTGAAAATTTACAAAAACTCAGATCTTTGGATCTGTCCTGGTGTCCTAGAATTACCGACGCTGCCTTGGAATATATAGCCTGTGACCTCAATCAATTAGAAGAATTAGTCCTCGACAGGTAAAAACGCTAGGTATTAAGTTGCGAGATTACTGACCGCACAACATTATAAGATTGTCTCTAATATTTTAATGAAGTACTCTACCAAAACAATGCAGTGAAGATGTCTCGTTTTATTTTTAGATGTGTACATATAACCGATATAGGAATAGGATATATTTCTACGATGTTATCACTACAATCGCTATACTTACGTTGGTGTTCACAAATTAGAGACTTCGGACTGCAGCACCTTTGTGGTATGAGAAACCTACAAATATTATCATTAGCAGGTATGTATGCATTTAATATTTTAGATCAAATATGAGTGATAATAACGTATTATACCTGAAGATAGCGCAACCCCGTGCTATATTTCCGTGTGCAAAAAAAATTATCACAGCTGTTCCTCTATTTACTATACATATTTTGAAAAGGTTAGTGTTTCTTAGATAGCATCGCCTATATGCTACAGCGGCTATAAAGCAACGGTGGCATAGTGGTAGATGCTGAGTGTCTACTAATCAATCGCCGTGAGCTGCGCGGGTCCGAGTCCCGTCCCAAATGTTTCTCTTCGCTATGAATGTTGTGAATATCAGTAGGTGGTAGTCGGTCTTGGACTGTCAAACGTGGAGATACTACCCATCGGATCTCTAACGCGGATAAGAATGTGTGCACGGGAGTGCCCAAAAGTACAGCCCACCGAATCTTGCGAAAGAACGAGCTCAACCCGTAACACGTACAGCGAGTACCTACAATCTCTACTACCGTGGGATTATCTTCCACGAGTTGCACAATCACCAGAGAAAATTTTATGGACTGATGAGTCAACGTTTGAAAAAGATGGTTACTGAATCTACACAACTTACACGAGTGGCATATAGAAAATCCACAGTCACAGACAGATCACCGTATCGTTTAAAAGCAAACATGTGGACCGGGATTCTAAATGAGAGAATCGTTGTACCTTTTGAGCTGAGAGAGTTCTTGAATGGCGGTATTTACTTAGACTTTTTACAAAATCATTTACAAAATTTATTGGAAGACGTGCCACTAATAAGCATTTACAGAGACATGGAGACCTGATTTAAATCCACTCGATTTTTGTACTGGGGAGCGGTTTCAGAAAAAGTTTACTCAAAGCCAATCGGAAATTTAGCTGAGCTACAAGACAGATTAATGGAAACAGCTGAATTTGATAATAACCAAAAAATTCGCCCCGTTCGTCTGATAACCCGATCATTTTTAAGATGTCATGCTTGTTGTTTGGTAGTGGATTGAAATGATGCAGCGGAAATGGGTTTTACTGATTATATTCATAATTAATTTACATCTAGACACGCCCGACGTTGCCCATCAAAGTTTCACTCTCTTGTCTCTGTCAGTTGTCACTCACAGCATACAGAGGGTGTTACAGAATTGTAACTCTAACAAAGCTTGCATTGCTGCTGAAGGAAGGCAGTTGGATTATTTATTGTGAATTCAATAAATAAATTTAGTTTTTCACGAATATCCATTACGGTAGAATGGCAGCTAATTATCTGGTAATATTTCAAAATTCCCCATATCGGCAAAGGACACATAATTTTGACGGATCCGTCAATGCTAGGTAGACAGAGCTATATTTTGTTTTGGTTTTTTGTACGCTACAGATTCATTTTGTACTTGCTAAAAAGCTGTTTTATTTCTCTTTCATTTTCATACAAAAAACAAAAACGCTACAATACAAGTTCTATTAGATTTACATCCGATTTATTATTGCCAATGTCGCAGACTAACACAAAAATGTCACTTGATCAGCTGTTCACCTTAGTAGACGTCAAAGCGAGATGAATACTCGTGAAATAGGGTATAAAAGTGGCGTTACTATCTGTTTTTTGTCACTCCGTCTAAGAAAAAATTGAAATCTTTACTAATGGGAACTAAAAGATCATTACAGAGTGTACATTTTTCCGATTTTTTTAAAAGCCTATAGTTTGAAAGTACGCGACTTGTTTTTCTTTATATTTTTCTGATAAAAATCCCCCGTTTCCGACTTGACGTCGACTTCTGGGTAGGGATGTTGCGATCCATGAAAAGTATCGATACAATGTATCGATTCATATCGTTTTAGGAAGTATCGATACTCGAAAATATCGGAATAAAAATATCGATACCAGAAGTATCGAAGCCTTTCGATACGGAGCATACACTGCCGAAAATCGGAGTTGATTTTTCTACAACCCTCAAAACAATGTTTACTTTTTTCAACTGCATGACTAGATTGTCATATACGTTCACTAATAAAAACAGCTAAAAAAATAAATACTACGAAATTAATTCATTTAAACGAAACAACTATACTACATATTACAGATATGCTTATTAAACATAAAATATAATGCATTAAAAAACAATACTAGAAATAACTCAAAGATCAAAATCTCAAACATTCCATTCTTTAGCACCCAGTGAATGTAAAAATAATAGTTCTGACATTCAATCAACAGAGAATCGGTTTAAGCTTCGGCAGAGTCTATTTCAGAGTCTAACTGGAGCTATTCCAGTACAAAAAAAGATCCGAGTTTAGGAGCATGGTATGATTTTATGTAATTACAGTTTTAGCTCAAGTTCGATATTCACCTATGATTTAGTATCATCATATTTATCTGCGTAATTTTGGGCCAGTTTTTCATGGTAGGCCCAAACACTGTCAGATTTTTCAACAATATTAATTTGACTTTGCCCTACTTTTTCAGTATTTATTCCCTTCTTGCGCAAATGAAATGACTGATTCAGGAAAGTGACTGCATTTGCACACGAGATTGGACTCCTAAAGTGCCATCACTTAAAACGAGGGTCCAGGATATTTGGGACAGCCTAAAGTTTAATCTGTTCGATGCTCCCAAACCGCTTTGAAAGGTCCTCAAGTGTTATTGTTTTAAGAGCTAAAACCTCTCTTGTTGAAGGAGTCAAATTTTTTGAAACAGGCAATTATACACGGTGTAAACGTTATGATAGTCATTATTTGAATGGGTGATAGAAGCGGTTAAAAGAAGGAAAAAAGTTTCATATAACATGGGGGTCAAAACGACATTTTTTTATAGAAAAGCGACTTTAAAGTAAAATAAAATCTGACAACGCGCAATGCCAGACGCAAATTACGACGGAGAGCAGTGAAAATGAAGATGGAGTTTGTTATTTTTGGCTCTTAGGTATTATTTCATTATTTGATAATGTACTCGCAAAATGCAAACAATTAAAAAAAAACGGACTTTCACTAACTGTCTCAGCGCTTCACCTGGTGTGTGAAAGTTTATTGAACGTATTAAAAAAATCCACTTATAAATAGGGAACACAATTTTTATACATATATTGTTTTTCTTTTTAAAACCCACACTGCACTTTTTGTATTTAAAGGTGTTCAAAATGTCGTTCTCCACTTTCCACACGAGCTTCATTACGACGAACCATTGACAGAATGTTAGTCTGCGAGGATAGTCTTCTGGTAACAAGGCCTACACTCGTTGTACATGGTAGGGATAAAGCAAATTTTCCCGTAGGATTCTATGGACTATGGTATGCGATAGTAATATGCGGCCGCCTAATTCCCGAGTGCTGATATCTGCATTGATTTCCACGATATTTAAAATTTGTTCCTCCTGGTCTACAGTAACCTGTCTTTCACGAGTGTGAATATTAGTGGGCTGAACACTTCCTGTATCTCGAAGTCTTTGGTACACTTGCACAAATGTCCTTCAGTATCGGTGTACCCGTTGGCGAAATCTGTTGCGATAAATTTGAGCTGCAAGATTTGAATTCTGACTAGCTTCACCGTAAACTAACAACATGTCGGCGATCTCTTGATTCGAGAACATTGTAAATCAAGACGACGACGTATGCGAACAAAAACAAAACAACATACTAACTACCGTTACCGTTTGCGCTCGATTGCCGGTTAGATAAGAGTGATGACGACGCGCTGTTCATGTGTGTTTTAAATATTCAATTTAATGAAACTTACTGACTACAAATTTTGACTTAACTTAGAAAACCTTAATGCCATTTATTTGATAATTACCGAATTTAACAACGTTTAAGATTAGATTATATAATTAGTAAGATTGTCGTCGATATAAAGTACTTAAAGTTGTAAACTATAAAGCCATTTAGACAAAAATTTATTGACTTTTGGACCATGGGTCATATGAACTTTTTGACTTGTTTTGACCCCCCCTGTTACCCATTTCAATAATGACTGCCATAACGTTTACACCCTGTATAATATGTAATGAATAAAATTTTACATGACAATATCTCCCCAGTAAAATATGCTTCCCCAAAAGAAATCCTAGAAAAAAATATCTAAAAACTCTTCCCCATTGATAAAAATCCCCTAATTTTTGGGAAACCACCCTAATATGGCAATCCGGATCGAAAGATAACGATACTCGACAAATGTATTGATACACCCAAGTATCGTATATAAAAATATCGATCAAAAATATCGGGTATTGGAAGCAAAATATTGGATCGTATTGAACATCCCTATTTATGAGAGTATTTGTTTATGCATTATTTATAAATAAAATGGGATTCTAGTGGCGCGATTTAGGTCTCTGTATATCCAGGAAAGGTTAGATTTTATAGGAGCTTTTATGTTATTTCCGTAAAATCCTACCTACGTAAGGTAAAATTCAGAAGTGAACAAGAAGTTCTGTTTCAGGATGCCCTCTATTAACATCTAGCGGTTTATCAAGCCTAATACAGCTAAGGCACATGCGTGAACTTGAGCTGACAAACTGCCCAGGAGCTTCAAGAGAACTGTTTGACTATCTCAGAGAACATTTGCCGCGATGCCTCGTTATAGAATAAGCCAAACATATGTAGTAAATTCACGTTAATTTTTTAACATTGTTGTTCTTTAACGTTTTCATAAAAATCGCTTCGAACTTCCATTTGTCTGAATTTTATGTTCTATAGGTAAGACATAAAACTCAAACTAATAATTCATAATTTTTCCCAAAGTGTTTGCTCTGCACTTAGCAAATAGGTTTCACACTTTAAATGATAATTTCACACAAACAACAATGTAACCAACGCTCAGGGACGTAGTGTCGAGGGGGGTAGAGGGAAGCCAACCATCCCAGAAATCTGTCAAGCTGTCGAAAATTGGCCAATAAAATGATAATTTGGATGACATAATAAATAGTGATCGCATCCCATACTGAAGTACTGTAAATTACAACATGCTCACCAAATATTATGCAAATAATTAGGAAACTTGGAAAATAAAACAGTATAGTTCCGAACACAAGTTAAGACCTGAATAAATAAAAATAAATAAAAGATTAAGAGTAAAAATGCATGACTTTTAACCAATAACTGTCGAGTTAGCGAATGACGGCAAATAGCAAATCAACAAATAAGTTGTATTCAAGGCGCTCTGACTTGAGAATAGAGGTGTCCGACAGCGCGTTTACCCCATATCCAGGAGCGTAGTAGCAAGTTTCGGAAGTTGGTAAAAACCACCAAGTTGGGAAAACATTGAGTAGCAGTAACGTGCTATTAAATACATCAGATATTTTATATTGCAGAACGGCAGAACTGAATGTTCGTAATATCGCTGTTGCGAGTAGGAACCTCATTCTCCTCTTATATTGATCTAGATACATTACCTTTGCATTTGTTAAATCTTAAAGTATAGCTGCAAATGCACATGCTTTTCTCATGTAGTATTTTCCTCGCCTTTGTACACATTCAAATGGCAAAAACTGACTCATATATACTAATTATGGATTTCGTTACTTCACTATTCGGCGTATAAAGTAAAAAGCACAACCTATTTTCATTAATCAGTGCATAGTACGCCTCTAATTTAAATAAAATAATAAATTTAATTGATAGCGCCGGGCGTTTAACGTCTAGCAGTTAGACATTTATGTTTCATTCATGGATTGGATCTGTCAATCTGTAGCATGTGGCAGCGATACATGTCCCTACATGCTCAACATATGAGTGACCAGCCTGTAACCTCTTTTAAGTCAAACGTTATAATCTGGAATCTAAAAGCTTGAATAGAATGCAGCAAAATAATCATAAATAAGCACAACTGCATAAAAAACTAAATTATATGAGCCGATTAAAACAGTGAGATCAAATTTAATGAGCATACGAGTACGCGTGTACAGTATGTTTTTTATATTGACTTTAACGTGAATTTACTAGCTCATACACTGTATTTTGTCCAACTTATTATTATATATTTGATAATACGAGTGCAATAATTTCTTTTATACTTTTTTAACATTCCTTTTCTTATGGAATACCTTGTTATTTTGGTCCACAGAAAAATATATACCTAGATAAGGATTCTCTTACGGAAGTAAGAAGCTTCTTCAACTGAAGATAATATTCTTATATATTAGTTTTTACAAATATTTATTTAATATATGATATTTATTTAATTATACAAATTACAACATAATATAAAATCTTCAAACATGATTTCGAAATATACCAACTATCCGAACCGTTTTTGAAAGCTGATGATTTCACTGTATTTGATGGTAGTTAATTTCATGAATTAAACACTCTAAAAAAAAATAAGATTTTTAGGTATTTATGAGGCTTACAGAATGAAACTATACGTAAAAAGATCCGACTAATAGTTACAGGGTCCACTGAATTACATTTCGTCGTAAAGGAACGGGATTACGTGACCTACTTATTTGCCAAAGTCATGCAGTCATCAATAATGCGTCCAATCAGCACATGCTACATAATAATTAGTCATTGACAGTTTGAAACATAATTGTGTCTTCAGTTTGCATGCTAACTTTATGAACAATTCAGCGCATTCAGTATGAAATATTTTTTTTTTCAACTTCAAGGCTTATCTGTGACCATGTAAAAATTTTAGCTCTAAGTATGAATGCACAAGAGTATCAAAAAATCTTGAAATGTTTTTCTTCGCAACTTTTTTACTATTAGTGGGATCTTTTTATCTGGAGGTCTCATAAGTACCTAAAAAATTTTATTTGAAGAGTTTTTTCGGTCCTGCCAACACTTTCGATTGAATCCCAAAAAACACGTTTTCCCACAAAAATTGGTAAACCCATTTTATGCGTCTATGTTGTACATACCCCTTGAACAACTTGCATCAATAAAACTACACTTTACAACCAGGAGTATTTTCGTCTGATATGACTAGACTATAGATTGAAGTTGTGTCCACGTAAATGATTTTTGTTTAGCTGAGCCAAATTTGTCGTGACCACCCCAAAAAAACTTATCGAGTAACAGGAAGGTGATTATCATTATCAGATCTTCTCTATGGTATCTCGCCATGAAAGTAGTCATCTTGAATAATTTTAGCCTCTCTTCATAGCCAGGTCATCTGATGCGAGTGGCACGACGCTGGAGATTTTCAAGAAAATCGCAGTCTTGAGCGAAAGCTGAGTACCAAACATTCCATTATCGCTCATATGTACTTTTTGTAAAGTCAAACATGTGGCAAAATCGCATCTATTGAAGGCTTTTGCAGAGAGGTATAAAATAAACGTCTTTCTGATTGGATACTCTTGTAATGGCTTGGTCTCAAAAAGTAGGCTACATTTGGATTGTTTGTTCCAATATGCATTGAGCTGCACTTTGTTGAATTTAAAGGAAGCAGGCCACTGGACAACGGCGTCCTCTGAAATACCTCACTGTTGATGTACAGGACAGGTACCCAGCTGATTTAAGGAAATGAAATAACACCAAAGGTGTTTTCAACTATATTTATAGTTCAATTATATCATAATTGGACGGAAAATCCCCTGGTTTGCGAAATAGTTGCAACATCGGCACATAAAATGGTTAGCTCATGTTTTCTGGAAAAACATTTTATTCAACGAGAAATTATAAGAAAACGCATTTTTTGAGATTCAGTTGAAAATGTTTGCATGAACGAGACTTACAAAATGAAACCACACATGAAAATATGAAAGAACAAAAGAGTTATGGCCAAAAACCTAGGTTTTGGTATTTGTTTTATTGTAGTCGATTAGTAAACTAGTTTTTAAGAATTATAAATTGTTTATCCCAAAACACCAAGCCAAGACTGATTATGATATCGGCCCTATGTCTACCAGGAAACAAGTGGAAGTATCTAAAGATAAAGCTCAAATGATAAGGTATTCTTATCTGGTGTCTGAGTTGTCATTCGTCAAAAATTAATATTTATTATTTAACGCTTAGCTATCAAAATCAATAAAAATAGATTTAGATTTTCTGGCAATTATAAACTAGTAGCAATAAAATTATTATTGTAAGCAATACGTCCATGATGACAATACAGATTAAATATTTTTTGTGGACCATAACTTAAACTTATTTATTTGATGTATGAACCTGTAGAAATTGCTAAAGGCAGAAATTGCGAGAATAATACAAAATTACTGTTTTATTCTTTGCATAACGTTCTTTTTCAAGTACTTTGTACAAGGTGCTTCACTTTTTGGGAAAACCTTGTGGCATTTTTAATAAAGTTGAGTGCTTTGTATATTACTTCCTGGAATATATGTGATGTAAATACAGATTTTTTAAAAAATCACAGCTTTATTCATTTTTTAACAAAAGTTACAATACCTAATTATCCCACCAACTGAGAAGTCCTAATCCTGGTTCATTTATGCTGCCCTGAAACAAAAATATTTAATGAACGGATTATTCTATTTGACAAAGAGATAAATAAAGGGTGGTCCATTTAAAATTTTTTTTTAAAAATGCTATAAAAAAAAAACTACTAAATATTTTTCCAAATTTTTTTTTTTTATTTGAAAGTACAATCCTTCCGATTAAGTATGGAATACAACTTTATTTAAATGACTGCCGCGGCTGGCTTTGCAGTAGCCCATACGGTCAGTCCAATTTTTGACCACATTTTCAATCGTATGTGGCTGTATTTCAGCAATGGCAGCGCGTATGTTCTCTTTTATTTCGCCAATTGTTGCTGATTTGTTGGCATAACATTGGTCTTTAATGGCACCCCATAAATAATAATCTAATGGGGTCAAATCACAGCTCCGAGGCGGCCAAACAACATCAGAATTTCGGCTGATAATGCGATCACCGAAAACACTTCGCAGAAGAGCAATCGTAGCGTTTGCTGTGTGACACGGAGCACCGTCTTGTTGAAACCAGATGTTACCGACATCAATATCTTGAATTTGTGGAAAGAAAAATTCATTTATCATGGTACGGTAACGCTCACCATTCACAGTAACTGCTGCTCCGGCTTCATTTTCAAAGAAAAATGGGCCAATGATGCCACCAGCCCAAAATCCGCACCAAACAGTCACTCGTTCTGGATGCATTGGCTTTTCTTCGATTGCGTGTGGGTTCTCTGAACCCCAAATGCGGCAGTTTTGCTTATTAACATAGCCGCCAAGATAAAAATGCGCTTCATCTGAAAAGATGATTTTTCGACCAAAATCAACATCTTCATCAAGTTGATTGCAGGCCCATGAAGCGAAGCGAAAACACATTGGATGGTCAGTTGGCTTCAATTGCTGAACCAATTGAACTTTGTACGCCTTCATACCAAGGTCTTTATGCAAAATTCGACCTAATGATGTGCGTGAAATGTTCAATTGTTGAGAACGTTGGCGCGTTGATGTGCTTGGAGACTCTGCCACACTCTCAGCTACAGCATCGATATTCTCGGGTGTACGCACCGTTTTCGGTCTTTCACGTGTTGGTTTGTCAATAAGAAGACCAGTTTCACGAACTTTTTGCACAAAATACCTCACATACGGTGCTGACGGTGATCCATTTCTTCCCATTTTTGCACGTAATTTTCGGACACAATCTGCAACATTACCACCACTTTCGAAATATTGTTTTAATATTTCCCAGCGTTGTTCAAGCGAATACACAACCATTTTCGTTAATCGGAATGATATGACTGATGTTCTGTCAAATCAGATGCGAAATAAGTCTTGACATATCCCAAAAAAACCAGTAACTCAAAAAAAAACGATAGGTGGACCACCCGGTAGAATAAAAACAAATTGCACATAGAACTCTATGATAGTCTGGCCCTGGCCGTTAAATGAAACCACATATGTTTGAATCAGTTTCCACTATAGTAGTCCTATCAGCATGAAAAATATAGGGTAAGTTTCAGGTGTTACCTATACGTTATACATACTGTGTGACGTTTTATTTGGACATTTAACGCTACACGTTTTTAATGTGATGCTCGTGAATACTTATCACTTATGGTTGTGCCACATGCATGATGATGTAATCGTGAATGGGGAGCTTAATGCTGCAGCGCGTCATGTTATGTCCGTAGAACATCAAAAAATGCGCTCTACTCAGTGCGTTTTAGCGTCGTGCTTTTGGCGTTCACATTACATGTCAATAGGTGCAATAGCTGAAAGCTTGCGAGTTACATACCAAACAGAGATCAATAAACTCCAATCAACTGTTTATACCTATGTGGAATAGCTAAATCCAAATCTAAGATATTCAGCAGAATAACCCCGAGTTGTTCACATGCCTGTTTTCAGAGTTAGTCATTTATTTTAACAGCATGTAGAACTCGTCAAAAGAAGTTGATATACCAAAAATCACCTACATAAAAGTATTTAAGTAGGTAAGTATTTAATTAACATCAAGTTAAATGGATACCGTTTTAATAAAAACTGTTCGAAATTGTCCCCATTTGTTCGATTAACGCAAAATCTTGCTCAACGAATCTCTTCGAAAATAAAATTCTGGTGTCCACCAATTAAATCACTAGCATTTTCAGTGCGCTGTTGAAGTTCTTCCAGGGTACTTACTGCTCTATCATGATACACCAACTCTTTCAAATAGCCACACAAAAAAAACGCAAGGCGTAAAATCCGGGGAGCGAGGAGGCCAAGAAATGGGCCCATTGCGCCCTATCCATCTATTCGGAAACTCATTATTTAGATGTTAATGAACTTCTCGTCTAAAATGTGGTGGAGCCCCATCATGTAGGAACCACATATTGTCACACATTCAGAGGAACATCTAATAATTATGACAGATTGTGTCGAAGAAACTCTAAATAAAAATCACCTGTCAGTCGAGGTGGAAAAAGTAGGGTCCAATAATTATGCCATTTACCACGCCAGCCCAAACACTTAATAAAGATTTATGTTGAAACTGACTTCATTTTACAGCATGTGGATTTCTTACCGCCCAAACATGATTGTTGTGGAAACTGTGCACTCCATTTCGTGTAAATGGGACCTCATGTGTATACAAATTTAATTTCGCAAAATCTTCATTTCTGCCGAACTGTTCTAAAAACCACTGGCAAAATGCAACTCTTCTAGGAGGATCTTCAGGTTGTAACCCTGGTACCCGTTGATAATGATAAGGATTGTTGTATTATCTTCCACTCTTTACTATGAGAAACTTCAACTTGAGCTGCTATGGCTCTAGTACACATTGTTGGGTCGTCTTCGACCATTTCTAAAATGTCTTCCTCAATTTGTAACATTTCAGGTTGAGCAGGTCTTGTGTCACGAAGTCTAATAACTAAATTTACAAACATCCGTGGGGCCGGATGATTTCTTAAAGAAAACCTTTCCGCATACAAAGTACATGCTGCGGCTGCAGCATTGTTTTCGTAAATATGGGCCACTTTTTCGCACAAAATAATCAGACAAATGAAAGTATACGCACTATTAAAAGACTGACACAACTGATCGAACCAAAGACTCGTACTGAAAACCATACAATAACACAAAAAGTTCGCCAAATTTAGATAAACGATAAGAATAGTAAACAAAAATCGTTAAGATTTTACACGGTAGTGATCGAAAATATCAAAAAAATCTGTGTAATACCATTCTTATTTTTAATTTTTTTTTTAATTTTTTACTATTTCCTTTGTTAAGCAACTTTTATATAGGTGATTTTTGGTATATCAACCCCTTTTGACGAGTCTTACAAGCAGTTAAAATAAATGACTGCACTTTGAAAACACCTTGTAGAGGGAGATTCAAATTAAGTGGCTGAAAATGGCACAACCATGGTAAAATGTGAAGTCAGATGCCTCACATTTCCCTAAGATAATAGAGAAAATGTATAGCTCTCAGTAATTTGTTACTGGAAAAATAATGAATGTAAAAGTAAATAAACATTTTTTCTTGCATATTGTGAATTTGCTTCATTATATAATAATAGATGAATACTTACTGTGAAAATTACTGATGACATCTTATTTATCATTAAAATAATTTTCTATGGTTAGTGAGTCAACTACTATATCCTGAAAAACCTGCGAGGAATATGGAAAGTGGCAATGGTTTTATGGCATGGTTTTTGTTTAACTTGACAAGTCGATTTTTTTGGAGCTGACTTATCATATGTGGTTGACGATCCGATCTATCGAGCGCGATTGACCTAGTTATAAATGCAGCAATGCACAAAATTTGTCATTTCAACATACAATCACGTAATTTGGCTTTGTATGTACGTAAATCCGTGTAGTTTTCACGTCATGTGCTTTTATGGATGCGAATATACCCTTTACTCCACAAGAGCAATTCAGAAATTGGGGGCAACACGAAAGAGATCAAAATGTAGCAACAATATTTGTAATGACAAACAACTGCAGTTTTCAACTTAATCACATGAGATAGCTATACTTTATATCTATTGTAATCAATGTAAACATTGCCTACAACCCCCTACCTTAATTTTAATAGTAAACACATCTAAGACAGTCTCATCATTTTCGAAAAGCGAGTTAGGTCCAGGATTTTTTCGCATTTATCTTATAGAATTATGCAGAACACAAAGCGGCATTTGCGAGCGTCGCCTAGAACAAGATTTTTCAACTCCTTCGTCACTTTATACAACAAAAATGATAATTTATCCAAATCGAGTAAGGTCCAGGATTTTTGTTCGATAAATGGTGGTTATTTATCATATTCTAGCGACCCACCAATCGATTTCATCCTATGAAGTCCGGAAGGCCCCTATCCGCACTCCGATCATAATTCGATCAAACAGCTGTCATTTGGGAAAATGACATGTCCAGGATTTTTTTGCACGTATCTTCTAGAATTGTGCTACCCTGGCAGCCCACAGAGTGGTTTCTGCGAGTGTGCCCCGGAACATAGTTTTTAGCCCCTAGGATACTTTACATAGATTATATAAAATAAAAATTATATATTTCGAAAATCGAGTTAAATTCAGGATTTTGTTTCGATATATCGTGGTTATATATGTTCTAATAATGCTCTGGCAGCCCACAAAGCGGCTTTTGCAGAACATAGTTTTTCAGTTACTATGGCACCTTATGGTGTATATGCCAAAAAAACTTCCAAACTCGGGTTTGGTCCAGATTTTTTTTGCATGTATCTCATAGAATTGTGCTATTCTAGCAGCCCACAAAGCTGCTTTTGCGAGAGTACAACGGAACATGCTTTTTCAGCTCCTAGTGGACTTTACATAATGTATGCACAAAAAAATCATAATTTTCCAAAATCGAGATAGGTCCACGATTTCTTCCGGTTATTTGTCGTAAGCTAACGACCCACCATGCGGTCGCCTCCAATGAAGTCCGAAAGAGCCCTATCTGCACTTCGATCTGAATTAGATAAAACAGCTGTTATTCTTGAAAAGGGGATTCCGGTCAGGTTTTTTTTTGCATATATCTCGTAGAATTATGTTTGCCCGTGAAGTCACTTTGGGTAGTGTGCCCCGGAATACGGTTCTATAGCCCTTAGACCCCTTCATAACATAAACGACAACATTGTTCATTCTTGAGTTCTTGAACTGTTTTACTTCATTCGTCAGTGTGTCAGTTTCCACCGTGACCCTAAAATCATTTTGAATTAATGATTGATGGATCCCTCGAGTACTAAGTTTTAATGATGATGGATCCTCGAGTACTAAGAATTCCGGACGTAAGCTCACTCCACTCTCGGAATGTCCGGGTGGAGGGTGGAATTGAGGGAACAACATCGAAGATAAAATTTATTTCACGAACCTCTGCGGGATTAACAGCAATATTGATGCTGTTCATCACAGCTTGCAATCCAATCGTCCCGCCATGCTTTTCTTCGCGGAGTCAAAAATCTCAGAGTCTGCACCGATTAACCACCTTAGCCTCCCAAATTACGAGATGCACTCCAGTCTGAGAAAAGACGGGGGGGGGGGAATTCTGGCGTTTGTCCGCAGCTGTGATTCCTGCTCCAGAGACGCTTCTTTTGAATCATACCGGAAGGACATTCTGTGGCTTCGCCTCAACTCCAAAACATTCCCCAAATTGGCAATGTTAATGTGCAAGTTATTTTGAAATCCCGCTACAAACAAAGTCAGGAAAAAATAAAGCGATTTTGGGAAAATTTGTTTTTTTCTGACTCTGGAACTACTTTAAATTTCGAAACTTCATAAGCTGCATTTTGTTGATTACCTAAGTACGCAACTTTGCCCCTATTTAACCGACTTCATATCTCTTGCAGTTTCCGAGATTCCAATGGTGAGGGTCGAATTTGAAACACCCTGTATACACCATGTAAAATGCCCTAGGGGTGAAAAGAAAAACTATGTTTCAGGGCACGTTCGCAAGAGCCGCTTTGCAGGCTGCTAGAGTAGCATAATTCTACAAGATACTATATGCAAAAGAATCTTGGGCCTAAGCAATTTTCCCAAATGACAGATTGGGGCCTTCCAGACTTCATTGGCAGAAACCATTTGGTGGATACTGTATAACCATGATTTATCGAAAAAAAACCTGAATCCAACTCGATTTTGGAAACCTGTCATTTTTTTGTATATGACTATTTATATTTTTAGCCTAATAATGAAAAAAAAAAACTAATTTGTCATTGAAAATCACTTTACTGTTTTTCAATATATTCTGCATTATGATCCTGCACTTTTTAATGCGTTCGAACCATTTTCCATGACACATTTTTCACTCTGCTTGAGATATTTCCAAAATAGACTATCAACTCATCAATAGCTTCTTCTGCCGACAAAAATCGTCGTCCACATAATTTATTGTCATCGTACGGGAACAAAAAGACGTCACTGGGTACCAAGTCGGGACTGTATGGAGGATGAACCATTAAATCAATATTCTGAGTGCTCAAATAGTCCATTGTTTCACGAGAGACGTGAGAGCTCGCATTGTCTTGATGAAGAATGATTTGGCGATTGGTGGTTAAAGGTACTGTTGCCACATGACCAGTTTTTTTCTAAAAAACAGGCGACCATTTGTCTCGAAGTGCTTCGTGCGCAACGAACCTTTGTCGGATTTGGCTTGTCTTGAAGCACCCATACAGACTACTGCTGTTTCTTTTCCAGCTCATACTCATAGATCCATGATTCATCACCTGTTACAATCTTATACACGTATTTCGAAGCACCGCCGTTGTATTTTTCGAGCATCTGTTTGCAGCAATCGACACGAGCCTCTTTTTGAGTGTTTGTCAAATTATCTGGAATCCAACGAGAACAGACCTTTTTTACTGCCAAATGATCATCTAATATTTTGTGTATGCTAGTGGAACTAATGCCTAAGGCAGCCTCAATCTCACAATATGTCACATGACGATCTTGCATTATTAGTTTTTGCACAGCATCAATGTTTTCTGGCACAATTGATTTTGGACGACTTTCATCTCCAAGAGAATGGCGGCCACGATTAAATGCGTTATACCAGCGTTTCACAGTGGCAAACGGTGGGGCTACATCACCAAAAGATGAAGTAAGTTGATCGATGCATTCCTGCATTGATAATCTACGTAGAAAAGTCGTGATAGATCTTCGCACGAAAATTTTCACAAGTCAATTCCATTTATTCACTAAAACACAATTTTGAAATTGCTATCAACAACATAAATCGTGCTGAAATAACAAAACGTTCTGAAGAAGCTTAGTTTTTAAACTAAACTAAAATTTCAAACTTGTAATTGGAAACTTCAGATGGAGCATAAGCATACTTGAGGCTGCAGAGGCTCAAAATATAAATAATGACCCTCGTATATGCCATGTTATGGGGTATTCTCACAAAAGCTGCTCTATGGGCTACTAGAGTAGTATAATTCTATAAGATAAATGCAAAAAATCTTGGACCCACCTCACTTTTCAAAAGTAGTGAGTGTGTTTTTGATCTGCTTACTATTAAATTAAGGTAGGGAGAATTTTGGGGGGGCTGTAGGCAATGTAGCATGACATTGATTTCAATAGACATAAAGTACAGCTGTCTCATGTAGTTAAGTTTAAAACTGCAGTTATAATTAGTTTTGCAACATTTTAATGTTTTTCATTTCTTCCAGTTTTAAAAGAAAAACACATAAAACAAACGATTTTACATGATAACCACATAAATTTACATAAACACTAAGCCAAATTATGTGATTGTATGTTGAACTTACAAATTTTTTGTACTGCTGCTTTTGTAAAATTTTCTATTAAGTGTAATCGATCAGTTCTTCAACCATATTATAACAACTAACCTTGCATTCAGATTGAGCAACTCCAACATGAGGGACACCTTTCTTAGGAATTATAAACTTTCTTATTGTTGAATTTTACTATCAAAATTCATGCTCGGTTAAGAGAGTGCATCGAGCACAGCTTCCAAATTATGGGCAATTTGGTCGGCCTACTGAGGGAGCTATTCAGAAGCTTGTGACTAAATTTCGAACCCAGTTCACATTATTGGACATTAAACCACCAACACGCAGACGTAGAGTGAGGACTGAAGAAAATATTGTGGCTGTATCCGCCAGTGTTAGTGATGACCGTGAAATGTCGATTCGCCGCCGTTCGCAGCAATTGGGCCTCTGTTACTCCACTACGTGGAAAATTTTGCGACAGGATTTGGGTGTAAAACCTTATAAGATACAGCTGGTACAAGAATTGAAGCCACACGACCTCCCACAACGTTTCCAAGTTGGTGAATGGGCGCTGGAAAAGTTGGAGGAAGATCCACATTTTTATCGAAAAATTGTGTTCAGCGACGAAGCTCATTTCTGGTTGAATGGGTACGTTAACAAGCAAAATTGCCGCATCTGGAGTGAAGATCAGCCAGAAGCATTGCAAGAGCTACCAATGCATCCCGAAAAAATCACTGTTTGGTGAGGATTATGGGCCGGTGGCATCATCGGGCCGTACTTCTTCAAAGACGACAATGGCCGGAACGTAACTGTGAATGGCGAGCGCTACCGTGCGATGATAACAAACTTTTTTTTGTCCAAAATGGAAGAGCTGGACTTGGCTGACATGTGGTTTCAACAAGACGGTGCTACATGCCACACCGCACACGAAACAATGGCCCTATTGAGAGGCGAGTTCGGTAAAAAGTTTATCTCACGTTTGGGGCCCATAAATTGGCCGCCTAGATCGTGTGATTTAACGCTGTTGGACTCTTTCTTGTGGGGCCATGTTAAGGCTAATGTCTACAGGGATAAACCAGCAACGATTGACGCACTGGAAGCCAATATTGAAGCATTTATTCGTGAGATACCGGCCGATATGTTGATAGAGTGTGCCAAAATTGGACCTTGCGCATGGGAGCGGAGCCACGGCCAACATTTACATGAAATAATCTTTAAACATTAAATTATATCGACCGTTCTATCGACCCAAATAAAGATTTAATCGATTTTTCAAATTTTTTGTTTTTTTTAAAATCAAATCCTATACCTGTTAAAATAGTTAGAAATAAGCAGATGTTCATAAAATGTCAACGAACAAGGAACAACATTTGAGTAACCTCTATTGGTTCGATTTTCAAAACGTTCAATGCTTCTCTGAAGACACATCGATGCTACACGAACATCAATGTTCTAATAAAAAACATTGATGTTCAAATTGATTATTTTTATGCCTGAACTAATACCGAAATATCTGTAGAACTTTTAATTGCAAAAAACAAGTTGATAGAGTCAACTCACCTGTAAGCTATAAGAAACTCTGTTCTCTGGGTTATCCTGATTTTCTTTCAAAGTTGGTCCTGCTGGGCAAGTATCATGGAAGGTTTCCGCTGTCACCCGAAACCTAATTGTTTCCCCTGCATCCATGAACAAATCATGCTTGCTTCCATCTCCAGTATCATACTCCCACACCCATGCCTGCTCAGTTTCATTGAACCTAGAAGGGTGCTGCAGTGCTGTTGGCGGTATAAGGATGTCATCAAAAAAGCCTAGCGTCACATGTACACCTTCTTGGCTGCAACTTCTGATTTTCCCCACAAGAATCTCTTCTATGAATGGTCTGAATACTATATAGCGAAATATCACCCTTGTATGAGAAGCACCATCTCCAGGAAATATATATGATTCTTGTAGATTCACTATATCATGTAAGGCTATACAGAGGCCTACATTTAGTACAACCTACAAGAGAATACATGAGTTGTGGTCAAATACAGCAGCCAACTATATTTCTTGAACTAACCTTGTTTGCTAATTTTTTGTTTAGTTCACCAGCAATGGCATCGTTCAGCTTTAGGTGAAAAAGTTCAGGTGGAATCCTAGTAACATTTTTCATCTCTGCTAAAATGAACATTTTAAATACAATTTTGTTTGTTTCCGAACTGTCAAGGACACGTCTTTCATTACGTCAAGAATGACAGCAAAAAACAGCTGAGTCGCTTTCCAGTTGAGAGTTGTATGTCCCACGGGTATTACGTATCTTGGAAAGTGACGTTAGCCGATTTTTGTTGACATTATATTTTGTGACAATTATGTAGGTTTTTGTTGCCTAAACGTTTTGAGGCTTCAGTTATCAATATTCCGCGTGGTAATCAGCGCAAGTTAGACCGTATGAGAAAAAAGTTAGCTACGAACATATATATCAGAGAAATTAAATATGTCAAGACAGTCGAACAGACCAACAAAATCAGTCCATAGACCTTCTCTTCCTGTCCTACTGACCCGAGTATCACGTATCTTGAAAAGTGCATGCCGATTTTTTATGACATTATGATGGTTTTTTTTGACATTATGTAGGTTTTTGTACAAGATGTTAACTTAGCACTTAGTTGTACGTGTTGCCTAAATGTTATGAGGCTTGTTATCAATCTCTGTCTCTGATGTGATCTAAAATCTACTTCAGAGATGGCACTACTGGAGGTCTAAGCTGAGGCATAGTGAGGATTTGTGTGCTAATAATGTGTGTTGATAATTCCATTGGATCCTTGACTCAAATACACTTACTTGAGACTCAAGGCTAGAAATTAGTTGCGCATCCACATCCACTTCAAAAGCGATAAATAATTATATTCATTGTACAGTGTCGAATTACAAGTCATATATGTACATGTTAACAGTAATTACACACAACGCGGGCGCGGTGATGATCTTTTGTAATTCTTCTCAAAGGTTTTGAAAACACAAAAGAGAAAACGGGAAAAATCGTAATGTACATACATACATATAACTTTGAACATAACCACTCTTCAGAAAGAATAACACAAATCACCCGTCTGGCACAGCTAATAGATATACTTCATTGGCAGCATAGTCAGTAATAGTTTTCTCACATAGCAAATATTACAGATTTTATAGACATGCAGACCAATACAATCATCCAGATGTGGTCTTGGTTCTCAACCAAACTTTCGTTCTTTCTCATTTTAAATACTACAATTTGTATTAAACAAACAAAGTAGCTGTCTGCAACCAACAATGCATACTTGGAAAGAGGCGAGCATTTCGTATCGTTCATCTTATAGGTCTTTTTTGACGTTTTATAGGTTTTTTACATGATAGTCAAGTCATCGTTGGTTGTCAGAGCGGTCCGTGGGACCTTTGCTCTTGAGTCACAGTGTCAGTTTGTAAGTCTGTCAGGTCTGGTAACCCAGAAACCAAACAATTTTAAGGAAAAAAGGGGAAGGAAAGGAGAGAAGGAAGAACGAGAGCAAAGGGGAAGAAGAGAATCTTTTAGGATAGGCAGCGTTTAGGCATTGTTAAAATCACTTCACAGATTTTGATATGGTCTAAAAATATTTGATTTTTTCTAAAGATTGTGTAAAAATGCTCCAATTTTGGTTGTTCTAAGTTCACGAGTTAATTTTGATTACAGTGCGAGCCGCGGCCTTTTGTGCTTGCGAACTTGCTCGACTGTGTAGTCCACTGACTCACGCAACAGAGGGTTGCTGTGCGATTCCGCTAGGCTATAGCGCCGCTGCGCCTGTTGCTTAATGTAGTCCTTTAGGTAAGGGACATCGAGGTCTCTATGTAGAGTTTCGTTAGAGACATACCATGGGGCATCAGCAATAGTGCGCAACGTCCTGCTTTGCAGAACCTGCAGACTTCGCATGTGTGTTTTAGCAATAAAACACCAAGCCGCACATGCGTAAGTCATTGCTGGTCTTATGACCACCTTATAGAGTCGAATCTTGTTAATCAAACTTAATTTTGACCGTTTAAACAATAATGGCGAAATATGCCAAAACGTAATTTGGAATTTAGTTTTTAGCGCTTCCATATGGTTCCGCCAAGTCATCCCTTTGTCCAGAATGACACCGAGATACTTAGCGGAGGATTCCCATGGTATACGAAGTCCATTCATTGAAACTTCAGACGGAACGCCGCGACGTCTTTTTGTACAGTAGATTGCCTGCGTTTTCGAATGGTTTATTTTAATTAGCCACCGATCCGCCCAATCTAATACTTCCTCCACCGCACTTTGCAGCCTGTCATGGACTAGGTCACCAGACCACGACTGAGCCACCAATGCAGTATCGTCAGCATAGAGATAGACTTCACAGTTGCTGGGACTAGGGACGTCATGGATGTACAGTGAGTAAAGGATAGGTCCAAGGACCGAACCCTGAGGGACGCCGGCTGTAATCAGCCGTGTTGTCGACAGGACGTTGTCAATTTTGATCCGAAATTTCCCACCTTCAAGGAAGGATTTCAGTAGTTTTAGAAGCCAAAAAGGGAAGCCCTTTTGGATTAGTTTATACAAGAGGCCCACGTGCCACACCTTGTCAAATGCTTTTGAGACGTCCAAAAGCAAGATGCCAGTACTTTCGTTAAGGGTGAATCCTCTGGTTACACGTTCCACCAGCCTAACCGCCTGTAGCTCCGTACTATGTTCAGACCGAAAACCGAATTGCACGTCAGGAATCACATGGTGAGGTTTTTTTTTACATGATACCCGCATGGGTATAAAACGTAAAAAAAAACTATAAAATGTCATCTTGCAAACTAGGTAGTTTTTAGGGTGCAAAGAGACATTCCACGTTTGCTCACTAGGATCGTTGTGAACGTGTATCTAAGGAGGAATCACTCAACTAAGCTAAACGCATTATTGGTTGCATATCTTTTGTGAGGCCAAATGGTCCTTGTCTGTAGTTTTCATCTCTGAGAAGAAAGTTGGTTGAATAGCAAGATCGCATCTGGATGATTATGTATTGGTCTACATTTGTATAAAATCAGTGATGTTTGCTGTGTGAGAAAATCATTACTGAATATGCTGCCCCATTGGCAGCATACTTCATTAAGTATAGCTATTGGCTGTGTCCGGCGGATTATTTTTATGTTGTGCTTTCTGAAGAGAGGTTATGTTCAAAGTTATAAATTACGAAAAACTGAGGAGAATTACAGAAAATCATCACCGCGCCCGCGTTGTGTGTAATTACTGTTAGCATGTATATGGCTTGTAATTCGACAGTTTACCTACAATGAATATAATTATTTATCTCTCTCATTTTTGAAATTCAGCAAATTTTTATATATAAGTTCCAGAATGGATCTGAAAAAGTGGATGCGCAACTAATTTCAAGCTTTGAATCTCAATTAAGTGTATTTGAGACAAGAACCGAATGTAATTATCATCAACACATTCAGCTTACAGCTTAGACCTCCAGTAATGCCATCTCAGAGGCAGATTTGACATCACATCAGAGCCAGAGATTGATAACAAGCCTCATGACGTTTAGGCAACACGTACAACTAAGTGCTAAGTTAATACCTTGTAGGGAAACCTACATAATGTCAAAAAAAAATCGGCATGTCATTTTTCTATACATACTGCGATGTTGCCATATTGAAGAAATGTAAGAAAATTAACAAAAATATGCATTTCCACGCGCAGCTGCTCTCATTTAGTAAAGAATCTGCGTCGCGGTGCGTGTGAGCGCACTGCTGTACCCCGGCACAACTAAGATGCAGCGCGGCAAAGTAAGCCTTACAATAGCTACTTAGTTAGTGGTCATTCCGCCATAAAACTAGGAACACGTGCAGGATTGGACAGGATAGAACTCAGGCTTGGGTTATCGCCGGCAGTTGCTGTTCATATTCGGTGCATTCATCACGTATGTTTTTACGTTAGCATGTCGCCTACGGATAATGAAACTGAGAATATTTCTGCCAGTGGTTCCTTCAGCCATGCTTCCTCTTCAGTGATGTCTCCCCGAAAACGTGGCAAGAAGGGACATTTGAATATTTAGGCAAAATAAATTGTCCTTAAAGTTTATAAGAGCGAAATTTTAGAGCATCCTGAAATGACAATTCATGAGATTGAAAGACGTGTGGCGAGGAAAACAGGCGTATGTCCTAATTTTCAACATTGTTAAAGAATAAAAAAAGAAAAAATGTTTCCACCACACAAGAGGCTGCATTACACGAAGCTGTTGGCTCAGTTGATAACTTTGATCGGAATGCCATCAGACGCAAAGCCCATCAATTTTCTGAAAGGCAGGAACTTCCCACCATAGACAAAGTATTACAGGAGGTTAATAGTGATAAGGACTTACCTACTTTCAAAAGGACCACACAATACTCAAACAACTTCATTTTGAGTATAGAAAACGGGACAGAAATAGTATTTTGATGGCCAGTCAAGAGATTATTCTATGGAGAAGAAATTATTTAAAATCAATAAAGAAATACCGCGACCAGGATAGGAAGATTTATTACTTGGATGAAACCTGGATAAATGCAGGACATATAAAACCTAAAGTATGGGCTGACTCTACAATTAAATCATCAAGACAAGACTTTTTAGATGGACTAACCACTGGCCTAAAGAATCCGTCAGGTATCTAACCAATTCGTCATTTGTCTTGTAAAAATGGTGTCAAGTAGACTGAATCTATGAGCACACACTGGAAACTTGCTACACCAGACATAGCTATATCTGGTAGATTTGGAACCAACACCTGTTAGATACTCTGCTTGTATTATTATTAGTTTTCTTGAATACTATATGAAATAATTATTTAAAGAAAAAGGAAAACGATTTGTTATCTGTCACATTGGCAGTGAAGATTGCTTTGTGCCCACTGCCCTATGGCCATTTGAGTCAAAGAAAATGACCGACTAGCATGAAGAAATGGACGGGAATTCATTTGATTGATGGTTTGGAGTAACGCTCCCAAAGCTTGACAATGCCGTCATTGTACTTGATATTGCTGCATACCGTACTAGAAAAAATTCCCACAATGTCCACAAGAAAGGCAGAAATGATCATGCACTGATGTTTGCTAAGCTAAAATTTTATGGTTTTGATAAAATAGCACTGCAGTTTTTTAAATCGTACCTAACCCACCGTTCTCAGCGCGTCTCACTTTCGGGAGTTTTGTCAAATGAGCACTTTATCACTTCGGGTGTGCCTCAGGGATCAATTTTAGGACCCTTGTTATTTTTAATTTATGTAGCCGATATTGCTAAGTCCATTCAAAATTCACAGCTACAGTCTTATGCGGATGACACTCAACTGCTTTACTTCTTTTATCCTGAATACCTCCAGACTGCTACTATGGAAATTAACGAGGATATTAAGTCTATTTGCACCTACTCAGCCAATAACAGCCTAACCGTTAATGCTTCTAAATCTTCTGCTGTGCTGTTTTGTCCAAATCACAGAAGAGCCGAAGTCAAAGCTTCCTTGAGTATATCTATTAACAATCAAAATCTTCCTTTTTCTGAAAGTGTCAAGTGTCTAGGTGTGTTTATTGATGAAAACGTCGCCTTCGTGAACATTTAAATAACCTCTTACAAAGAAGTTACATCCGTCTGAGAACTCTGTATGCGAACAAAAATTTGCTGAATTTTGAAGTGCGAAAAAAGTTGTGTGAATCTTTTGTGTTATCTATTTTTAATTATTGCAATCTAGTTTATCATCCTTGTTTGGATGTTGCAAGTCGTAACAGAATATCTGTAGTATAAAATAACGTTCGATTCATATTTAGTTTAAGATAATTTGATCATGTTTCGGATCGTTATCCTTTAATAGGTTGGTTAAAGAAGACAGATTTACGTGAAAAACTAATTTTTAGGTATAATGTTCATCAACGACATATCCGTAACACATTCGCTTTAACAATGCCACTTCATAGTTCATCTGTTTTTAACAGGTCCTTCTCATATAATGCATGCATGTTGTACAATAGCTTAGATTATAGAACAAAAAGCCTGCCGCTGTATAGTTTTAAAAAACACTTAAGAGCTCTTCTGCTTAATGGTGATTCTTAAAGGTGTTTTCCTCCAGCATTATATTTTTAAGCTAATTTTTATTTAGGTTGTAATCAGTTACATGGGCATTTTCCTCCTTTTATTTTCTTTACAGCTGTACTTTTTTACCATCTATTATTCTAATGCAGTTAATGGTTAAGTGTAAGAATAGCTGCCATAGCTAAACTTCGCCATTAAGCTGCTCACTAATCTAATTATAGATAATAATATATGCATTATCTGTAATTTGTTTTTTCTAGTAAAAGACGTTTATTATTATTATTAAATTCAACAATGGCTCCTATCAATAGACATTAGTTTTAACGGAAAGCAGAACTTACCCTTCTAGTCAGGCAGCTCAAATATAAATATAATTTTAATGTTATTGACAAAATAGCTAAAAATCAAAATAAGACTGTGATAAGGCTACCCCTTTATCATTGCTAATTAAATCTCATGGAAATGATTTTGCAAATATAAAAAACTATGTGGCTTCAAACAATAGAATATTAAAATTTTCTGACGTGAAAAATTTGTTTTACGAAGCTGTCAACAGAGTGAAGGCAAATCATTGGAAATATTGCTTTCCTCACCTTCAAGAGACAATCGAAACAAAGATGTGGGATCTGGACAATATGATTGATATTCAAGTTGAACTGACATCGCACAGTCTTTGAAAACAAACGTTCAATAAAAACCTATTAAATAGTATAATATTTCAGAACTTTCATGTTTGCGTTCATTTTCAGTCCCATTTCTTTCATCTACACCCAAAAACTAGGGTCTGAAATCAGTTTTTCATCAAAAATGGCTGGTGTAGCTAAGCTAGAGAATTACCTTTGCATTTTACTATAATGTACCATCAAGAAACTCCTAATCTTTCATGATTGGTGAAAACCAAATTAAATTCGCAACACAAAATGGTGTTCTAAAATTGGCATTTTGTATGTTATGAATACACAGTACTAAGAAAATCATTCCAGCAAGGTCTTGTTTGAATCACTTGATGAAAGAAATATAGTATGTTCTGAACATGAATTGAACATTTTGCTCAGACACACTTAAAACTGCCCAAAAAAACGATAATTAATCCTAAAAAACTATTGAGAATAAACTTGCCATGTATTGTAGTTGAGAATAAAAACACATGATCATTAAAAATATTATTATGTACCTAATTTCAGTTGGCTATGTACATTTTTATCAAGGACATTTTCCACAGCACTTGTTGTCAGCCTCAGGTTTATGATTTGGTGTCCACGGTCCTAAGCTTGCATTCGCATAAAAGTCCATAGGGTAATTTGAATCAGAAGAAAGCGTCTGTTTGTTAAGAAGCACAGCAGTTTCATATGGCGTTAAGAGGGGCTTGGAAAATGATTTACCCCAATCTATTGATAAGCGTGGGCATGCCACTTGCACAAATGCATCAACTCCTTTGAAAAGTTCTAGTTTGTCAGGAAATATTTCAGAGAGTAGTATAACAACCACTTCCCTGCCACTTTCTGTCAATTGATCCTTCAAATAATTGACTACTTTTGGGTTTCCTTGTCTCCCTAATGTACCCATTATAACACCAAACGTTTTAGCAGTTGATGACTTATCTATCATCTCTTTTCTAATCATCTTCATTTCTTTATGTTTATAGTTTTCTTTTGTAAATTTTTTTGTGTAAGGATCATATTTGTATGCTTTTAAGTTAGGATTGGCAATCATAGCAGCCTCCAAATGAAACTGCCCATCTCCTAAGTAAATCACTACATCAGCACATTTTATTACAGGTGCAGTACATCCCAAAATTTCTCCAGGTGATAGTGGCTTGATTTGGGGAATAGTCACACTATACCCATTTTCTCTCAAATTTACTGCTGCAGCTTGTAAAGTGGTTACAAACTGTATAGTACTCACAAGAGCTAGTTTTTCACTTGCACTGAAATTATACTTTACAGTATCAATAAAATGCAATGGGTCTATTTTGATATCAACAAATATGTAGAGTACTCTGATACCACTTGTCTGATCTATTGGAACCAAGCAACTATGTCCATAATGGATCAACAATTCTACTCCTAAAGCCCTTGCTGTTAAATCATCTACACAACATGCTCCATAAGTCACGTCGCCCATAATCACAACTTCTGCCCCAGTGAACTCTTTGATGATATCTGCGATTGTACTGGAAAATAAAAGTAATCCTTCTGGCATTTGAAGAGCTACAGTTTTTGCTTTCACCTCCTGAATTTTCCATATGGTCTTGGGTATTTCAAAATTATAGTTTTTTGGTAAAGCTTCTGCTGCTGCTTGAAGTTTAGGGTTGTTTAGTATCGACTCCGGAATCTTTGTAACTCTTGTTGCCTTGAAAACTTTCCTCTCTCGTTTTGCTTTAATCACAACTACGTCATCCGACATTTTGGACAAAAAAACTAAAATGTAAAGTTGGAAACGAAGTTTCTTGATATTTCAAATTTCAATTACCCCAGAAATTATCATCACATTTTCTCCACAAAATATATACACTGAAGAAGGTTAAGTTCCATGTTATTCAAGGGCAACACGGCTGACTTATGTCATTGTCAACGACCATTTTTTGAGGGTGCGTCATGGTTGCCCGGTTGTGCATTAATGCCACGCAACGTTGCTAGCTCTATATATAAAACTGAGATTGCTATACTTTTATATATAGAAGGGCGAGAAGTGTGTACCAACACATGTTAGAAAGAGATAGAAGCCGACTAAAGAGGGAAAGTCATCACCACATTGCCTAGCGACGGTGAAGCAGATTGTCGCGCAATCTGCCGCGTGGCCAATATGTTACACCAGAAAATGTTCGCGCAGGCTTGGACAATAGCTAAGGTTCCTATGACAGGAACATCAAAAAGACCAGGTAAAACTAATTCTAAAAACCTTCAGTATTCTTCTGCATTAAGTCTAGGTGGAAGAAAATGAGGCCCAATGGGATGGTCACCGAAAATTTCGACCCGAATTAGTATTCGAGAAGAGAACCATTGTTGAAAATTATGTTCTGTTAAGGAATGTGGACAAGCTTCATCTGTAAATAATATTCGAGTTACAAAAAAATAAATTCCTTATCATTTTACTGCGTAACCAATCAGAAAAAGCTAGTCTTAAAGACAAATCTCTGAGCAATAGAGCTTGCATACGTTGCATGTGATATGAATATAGCTGCTGGTCAAAATCTGCCACACTGTGACATGGGTAATATTCGGTTCTTCAGCTATCTTCCGAGTACTGGTATGACGATTTGCCTCAATTTAATTTAAAACATCTTCTTCAATTTGCACTGTTCGTACCGTTGCAGGCCTCCCAATGACAACAGCCGATCTTTTAAAGGTGCCTGTTTCAGAAAGTCGTGCATGGAGAAGTGCAAATGTTCTTCTACTAGGTACTACAATAAATTGAACCATATTGGACAAAAAATACTTTTTATAAAAATCATAAATTAATAGCTTATAAATACTAAGTTGAATGTCAAGTTGCTTACTATATGCTGCAATCGTTTGCCAAGGCAACCCTTGATTATTATTTACTATTCCTTAGTTTGGTAAAATTCGTTAGTCCAGGTGTTAATGTAACGCAATTTAATTTAGTGTATATTTGTTGTTACATAATTAGTAATAAAAAATTATAAAAAATAGTTTAATTTAATTATAATTTGTGGGGTCCAGGGATTTGCAGTTTGGTTGACTTTCTTTTTGAAAACTAAACTAGATACGAAAAAAAAAACAAGAAACAAAAAAGTTGTATTTCTATTTGCTAATTAATAAATTTAATCAAGTTATGGATAAATTAGCTCCTTAATATTATAAATACCACCGACAAATCACAACAAAATTAGGTGAAGGATATTTATGAAATTTTAGGAATAACCATTTTTTTTTAAATTTCAAGACCCTGCATCTTTATATCAATTTTTTTGTCTTAAACTTACATCGACAAGAAATAACTTGTTAAATTCTACCTGCTCTCAAAACTTTGCGCAGGTAGCAAATTTTCTAAGGGGAGATAAATCCTAAAAAATGCTCAATGTTGCACACAAAATCATGCTAAGTATGCAAATTTTAAGCTCCAAGTTTATTCTCAGGAGACACCATGGCCCCACTCACACAATTTGTACACATTTTTTTTGTTTATTTGCAAACATCTAATATTTCTTTCACAGTAACATCGATATGCATGCCTTACATTAGATTCAAAAAAGTATTTTGTCAACTTAAATCTGTATTTTATGTTTAGTATAAATTATCAAGATATCTTAACGTCCAATATTTTATTTTCATTCTTAGTAACGTGTCTTTAAGAAATAATATTTTGATTCTACCGGTATCTCTATAAGTATTTAATATGAACACCAGCCTTCCTTATTAAACAAGTCCAAAATAATGATTTGCATCTCAGCGATATTTGATCTTCAGCATTCCATCGATTTCATTGAAATTATAGTGAACTTTGCATATCAATCCTGCTGCTCTGATAATAGCTGATTTAAAACAAAATATGGGAACTGACTTTGACAAAAAGCAGTACAAACCATCACTGGTTATGGAATTATATAAAAACTTACTAATGTTGTTTTACCATATCCAACCTAAAATTTTTTTTGTTAAATGCATTATTTTTATTATTATGCATAGTATTTCACTGTAATTTAATATCAAAGTATTATGCTACTGTTGATGTTACCCCAAAATACCCAGACACATACTATTTATACACATGGAAATCTACAATATAAATAATTATTTTATGTTTATGCCCAAATTGTGAACACGAGATATAAATGATTAAACATTTGATAACAATTCGTAAAAATACAAATTTCCATAAAACATAAACACCAGTCTTGGTTTGTTCGTTCTTGCACGTACAATAACATTCTAAATAGCAAATGTAGCCAAAACGTCCGATGAGCTGGCAACACCGCGATCTAGGTGACAAGAATAACACGGTCAGCTGCCAAGACTTATGTCAAGCCTAGTCTGGGGCACCGACGGAGCCAATTCGAACGTCAAGGCGTCAATTTTCCAATTTTCATTTGCATTTTTTAAGTGTCTTGCGTGGCCATGTTATCTTTACTAGGGCCAGTAATGTAATAACTCTTTTACATTTCATAAATATTCCTCTCTTTAGCATATTTTCTCACCTCCCAGAATGAATAAGAACAAGTGGATGCGCAACTAACTTCTACACCTATGCACTGCTGTTTCCTTCTGGCTTTAGTATCTTTTACAGCTTAGACCTAAAATAATACCATCTCTGTTAGATCACATCAGAGAAAAACATTGATAACTGACGCATCATGACGTTTAGGCAACACGTACAGCTACAACACGAGTTCACAAAAAACTTACAAAATGTCAAAAAACGACATACTCTCACTTTTCAAGATACGTAATACCCGTGCCGAGTTTTACGTTTTTACGTAATAAGCCTGCGGGTGCATACAACACTCAATTCAAGGGGGTGAAACGTCTTCTGGGCGAACTCACAAAGCCAAGGTCACCGTCTCCAAACGAAATCGAGGAAACTGCATTACTGGTATCTTTTCACATGATGCTTGCCGAGATCCCCTATCTTTATCTAAATGTAAGAATATCAAATAAGGCATTTGTTTTGGTTAACAATTATATTATCAACGCCGATATTTTCGGAGATGTTTATTTAAAAAAGAGCATAAAATATAAAGCAACGCTATCAGTAGCTGTGATGGTATATGTGAGATGTATCGTGACTATTGTGGGATATGCAGAAGTTCAGGAGACTCTGTCATAAAGTGGCTATGATATGGAGTGTTGTAGTTGGTAGAGTATTTAAAATCACTTCGTTGGAATCAGTATCTTTATAATCATTGTGGTTGGAACCGTTATATAAAGTACGGAAGCTTTCTTGTACGAAATAACACATGGTAATATCGGCAGAGTTCAGTCATAATGCCGTAAGTGGTATAAAGCAAAAATCTGCTCATCTAGGCCAACAAATTAAAGGCATAAAACTGACCAAATTAATTTAAAAAGACTAGCATATTAACAAAGAATGTATATTTTAAAATTTTCATTAGTGTTTTCTGTATTGTTTCAGAATTAACAAGCAATTCAATGAAGTGAGACACCTGTGTTTTGCAACACAACATCAATTTGGAATAAATCTACTATATTTTCGTGTAATACAATTTTTATACCATTGTAAAAAAATATGTTTACAGTACGTGATTATTTTTTGATAATAAATGTATTTTGTGCATCATAATTAGCATTACATTTTTTTATTCTGAAACTGGAAACCGCTGAAACAGATATTATTCTTATTGGAGATATTTTATGAAGATACGTTAGTGAAATAATCCTTCAATATCGGAAATATCATTTTCAGCAGAATTCAAATTAGGAACAAACGAAATCCCGGGCACATTCTTTATCCAAGGGGCATTTTCGGTATTCTTTTGACAGTTCCTCCAGATCTCCAGGCGGCGGCGGTGGCGGAGCCATCTGACAAACGTCAACGGTGTTGTCATCCTTTAACGTGCAGCTGTGGCACAGCACCACTTCTTCAGCCTTATGTGTTTTGTGACTCAATTCAAAAGCACTGGAATAAGCTTTTTATATGCACCGTTTATAAAATCTGATCTTCAGGCAACTCATATTACAAGACTTCGTATGGCTGGTTTCGTGAGATAATTTGTCAAACCACTTCAGTAACATATTATCAATTAATGTTGTTATTTTTTTTTAAAAGGATTTGTTTGCAATATTATAAACCAATGTAATTTTTATTTCATAAATTGTACGAAATATAAAGACAACGTTCCAAAAAATAAAAAAGTATCCTGTGCTTGATCTTCGCTACACTGAGGGCGCCACTGCAGTCTCTCCTAGTCGATATATCACGATTAGCATTTTGACAATAAAAATTTGTTTATTGCTCCAAATTTGAACCGAATGTTTGCAAAACAGAACGAAACTGTTTGTATTTAGGCCATTTCGCGTTTGTGCGTGATTCTAAGGAACTTTGAGCCGTGAAAATCAATGGTGCAGTGACGATTTACTGTTTTTATCATTGTTGTAATACAAACGGCAATTCGAATCGTGTAATTTCTTGTACATTCCGTCAGTTTTCCGCGAAATTTTCAATTGGATCATGTTCTAGTGCATATATTCTGCAGTGCTTCGTCAAAGAGAAGGTTAGTTATGTTGAAAACACCAGAAAATATAGTATCAATCTCTGCTGGAGGTACCTACCATGGAAGGTATGTGGTATTGTTAACAAGTAGCTGGATGCTGCTGTTAACGTGGATACACATGGTTTTTAGGTCAGAGACCAGGCCAGTTTCCAAGAGAATCTGTCTGAGTCACTAGTCTTTTTCAAGAATATTGTTTGTAAAACGAGTAACTTGTCACGTATTTGGTTGTTTCCTTGTTATTTCGATCCGTATGTATAAGATGTCCAGTACTTGGATAAATTTGTGACAGTCTTTAAAAAATGTAGAAATTATCGGGTTATGAACTACTGATTCAGATATATCCAGATTTCAGGCTACTGTACAAAGAGCACACATGTCAGCTCATGAGTTTGCAAGCTATAAACATGTTTTAAAACTTCATTTTACAAACACTCATAAAATGGACATAGAATGATTTATGACTAAATTAAACTATCATTACAGGACCCAACATCACAAGACCTTTATCATATGGCAAGGACATATCCAGATGGCTCCTTAGCTAGTACATAGTTGTTTTTTGCTTTTCAAAAAGTTATGAGTGGAAAAATATTCAATTCCAATTTGCACTAAACTCTTAAACTAGGAAATCCTATGTCATATATTAGGGCAGCAATTCTAATTGAAGAGTACTTAATCACTTATATTGTTATAACTTATTCTTAATCAGTGTGTCAGTGCTGTATCTTTGTGACAGGACATGTTTATAAGAGCTTGATGTGGGACTTTGTATGCTCTAGGTCTAGACTCTTCCAAGTCTTCTTGTTGTCTTCTTGTCCTTTGAGTGCTATACAAACTGTATGCCTCCCCTTGGC